TACTATGTTGAATAAGAGTGATGAAAAAATACATCCGTCTTATTGCTCATTTCAAGGGAAGCATTTGTAGTTTTTGTGCAATAATTATAATGTTGACTATATTTGTGATATATGGCCTTACTTAGCTAGAGGTATGGTCCCTTTATTCCTACTTTGCTGAGAGTTTTTATCATAAATGTGTGTTGGATTTTATCAACTGCTTTTTCTGTATCTATTGATAGGATCATGTGGTTTTATCATTAAATCAGTTTATGTGGTGGATCACATTTATTGATTTATAAATATTTAGTAACTTTGTATTCCTGGGATAAGTCCTACTTGATCATGGTATATGATCTTTTTAAAGTATTGCTAGATAAAGTTTGATAATACTTTGTTGAGAATTTTAGCATCTATGTGTATCAGCAATACTGGCCTATAATTTTCTTTGTAGTGTGTTTATTTGGTTTTGAAATTAGAATAATGCTGGTCTTGCAACATGAGTGGGAGTTTTCTCTCCTCTTGAAGTTTTGGAATACTTTTAGGAGGACCAGTGTTAGTTCTTCTGAGAATTGTTAGTAAAATTAACCTGTGAAATCATCCAATCCAGGAATTTTGTTTAGTGGAAGTTTTTTGATTACTCTTTTAATTTTATTAATTGTAATATGTCTACTTTTTATTAATTCAGTTTTGGAAGACTGTATGTTTATAGGGATTTATCTGTTTGTGTCCAGTGTTCAAATTGTAGATATACAGTAGTTTGTAATATTTTCTTCTGTTTTTTTTTAAAATTTATTTGTTGTCAGTTGTTAATTATGCTTTCATCTCGATTTTATTTACTTGGGTCCCTTCTTTCTTTCTTGATAAGTCTGGTTGAAGGTTTGCCAATCTTGTTTATCTTTTCAAAGAAACAGCTCTTGGTTTCATTATCTTTGTACCTTTTTTTTAAAGACTCCATTTTGTTTATTTCTGCTCTAATTTTTATTTTTACCCCCTTCTACTTTGTTTGTTCTTTTCTTTTTCAAGTTCTTTTAAGTGTAAAATTAGATTGTTTCTTTGGATAGGATTGCAATGCTATGAATTCCCTTCTTAGAACTGCCTTTACTGTTTTCCATAGATTTCTGACTTGTGTTCTCATTTACATTTGTTTTAAGGTATCTTTTGATTTCTTTCATTGTTGAACCATTCACTGTTTAATAATATGTCATTTAGCCTCTGTGTCTTTGTGTGTTTTTCAATTTTTTTCTTGTGATAGATTTCTAGTTTCAGACCATAATGGTCAGAGATGATGCTTGATATGATTTCAATTTTCTTTAATTTATTGAGATATGTTTTGTATTACAACATAGTCTACACTAAAAAATATCCATGTGCACTTACTGCAGCTTTGGGGTGAAATGCTCTGAAGATATAAATTAAATGCATTTGGCCTATTATGTCATTTAAGGTTACAGTTTCCTTATCAATTTTTTATCTGGAAGATCTATCTACTGATGTCAATTGGGAGTTAAATTCCCCTACTTTCTATCTCCCTTTCAATCAAGATTTGCTTTACATTCTTAGATGCTCTTACATTAGGTGCATGAATGTTACAGGGGTTATATCCTCTAGTTGCACTGCTCCTTTTATCATTTTGTACTATCCTTCTTTGTCTTTTACTATATTGTTTTGAAGTCTGGCAGATAAATTTACTTCTACCCCTTACTTAAAATTTCCATTTGAACAAAGTATTCTTTTCCATCCCTTTACTTTAGTCTGTATCTTTTGTTCTGAGGTGTGTCTCCTAAAGAAAGCATATATATGTGCCTTGTTTTCTTATCCATTCTGCTACCTTATGTCTTTTGATTGGAGCATTTAAACCATTTACATTTAAATCGATTATGAATAGGTATGTATTTATTGCCATTTTATTCTTTTAACTATTCTCTCCTTTTCCCTCACTACTTCATAAAACAGGCCCTTTAATATTTCAAGTAATACTGGTTTGGTGGTAAGAGACTCCTTTAGCTTTTTGTTGTTGAGGAACTTCTTTATATGTCCTTCAATTTCTTTTTTTTTTTTTTTTTAATATATTTTTATTGATTTTTCACAGAGAGGAAGAGAGAGGGATAAAGAGTTAGAAACATCAATGAGAGAAAAACATCAATCAGCTGCCTCTTGCACACTGGGGACATGACTGCAACCAAGGTACATGCCCTTGACCAGAATCGAACTGGGACCCTTCAGTCCACAGGCTGAAGCTCTATCCACTGAGCCAAACCAGTTTTGGCTGTCCTTCAATTTCAATGATAGCCTTGCCAGATAGAGTTGTATTGGTTATAGGTCCTTGCTTTTCATCACTTGAATATTTCATGCCAATCCCTTGGGTAATGAAATGTTTCTGTTGAAAAATCAGTGACAATTAAAATAGGAGCTCCTTTGTACATAACTAACACTCTTTCTCATACAGCTTTTAAGATTCTCTGTCTTTAATATTTATTATGATGTGTTTGGCGTTGGTTTCTTTTGTCCATCTTGTTTGGGACTCTTTCTGCCTCCTGAACTTGTAAGTCTTTTTAGTTCACCTGTTATGAAAATTTTCAATCATTATTTCTTCAAATAGGTCTCAATGACATTCTCACTTTTTCTCTCTCTTTCTATCTCTCTTCTTGTACCCCTAAGATGTGGATGTTGTCACACTTCATGTTGTCTCAAAGGTCCCTTAAGCTATCCTCATTATTTAAAATTATTTTGCTGTTACGATTGGGTATTCTTTTATACTGCCATCAAATCTCGCTCCTCTGCTTTATCTAACCAACTGTTTATTTATTCCAGTTTATTCTTCATTTCTGACTGGTTCTTTTTATGATTTCTATATCCTTTCTCATTCTTATAACAATTACTTGGAATTCTATATCTGATAAATTGTTTGCCTGCATTTCATTTAGCTTTTTTTGAGATTTCTCCTGTTCTCTCATTTGAGATATGTTTTTTTGTCTGCTTGTTTTTTTGGTGCTTGTTTCTAGTATTAGACCTGCCATGTTTCCCAGAGTTTATGGGGTGGTGTTCTGTGGATCCAGTGATCCAGTTTTCATGATCACCTGGGCTGGGCTCTTCATGAATGTCCAATGTGTGGGTTATGTAGGCCCTCCTTATAACTGAGTCTTGATTGCTATTTGTCCATTCATGCATGAGATTGTCCCTCACTCTGGCTGACTTTGAGTTTCAACCCCAACTGCAGTGTGTGAGCTGCTGTGCAGGTGTTGACCACAAGAACTGGAATTCATCTAACCAGAGTTTTGTGCCTGCCAAGATTGTCCTTTAGATATGCTTCTTGTAAAGCTTATTGGATCCTGATTTTTTTTCTATAGCCGACCACTGGGCATACTGGTTTTGGGCATCTTAGAATGAACTCTGGTGCAAGCCAATGCCAGACACTGCTTTTGACTCGCCCTGGGTAACCTGTTTGGAACAGTCTCGATATGGTTTCCTCTGTAAAACCTTGACTATATTGCTTTCTTCAGCTACTTGTCAGTCACCTAAGATGATTGTTCTATAATTTAATTGTAATTCCAGTTTGGTCCTAAGAGGTAAGTATAGTTTCCACTTACTCTGTAGTCACCTTAGATCCTTTTATTGGCACATAATCTTTTTTGATTAGTTGCTACTTGTGTTTGCTTTATCACAAACAAGATTCATTTCATATCTTTAGCTGGAAGTCTCAGTCCATGCTTTTAATTTAATATATACATATTAAATAAGTTAAGCAATTAAAATTAAGCACTTTATAAGTTAAGCAATTAAAAATCAAAGATGGCCAAAATATTAAACAAGTAATTGTCAACTAAAACTCAGAACATCAGTAAATGTTTATAACAAAACAATTAGCTCTTCTATGGGACTGTACAGAAGAATTTTACACCCAAAATACCTCCTAGTTTTTTAACCTACAGGTAACCTTCATATTTATTTTACTTTAAATCCCATTTATCCTTGATTGAATATAAAGTTTAAAGTTTAAACTATTCTAGAGGCTTGGAACACGCAATTTGTGCACTCGGGGGAGGAGGGTTTCTCCCCCGCAGTGCAGGAGCCCTCAGGGGATGACTACAGCTCCCCATAGGAATCAAGCCTAAGCTATCAGTCGGACATCCTTAGTGCTGCTACAGAGGCAGGAAAGGCTCCCACCACCGTCACTGAGCTAACTAGCCTCTGAGCTTGGCTTTGGGTTGACTGGTGCTCCCTATGTAGGAGCGCACTGACCACCAGGGGCAGCTCCTGCATTGAACGTTTGCCCCTCGGTGGTCACTATGCATCATAACAACTGGCCAATCCACTGTTTGGTCTATTTGTAGGCTGCAAGGCTGTGATGGGCACAGAGGCGAGTCTCAGCCCATCATCCATGCCCCTGTCCAACCCCTCAGGCTGTGACCCCTACACTTGTCTGCTAGCAGCCCTGCTCCTGCCACTGCCACTCCCCCTGACAGCACTGGCCCTGCTCGCAAATGCTGACAATGTGGAGTGATTGAGGCTGGTGCAAGCAAGGGTGAAAGTGGGGCCAGTGCAGACAGTTGGTGCAAGCAGCGAATGCAGTCCCCGATCGCACCTCAGGTGCAGGGGGAGGTGGAGAAACCCTGAGGGGCGATTGGGGCTGGCAGCCACCACTTGCACCCACTAATGGCACCGAGCGATTGGGACTGGCACTGGGAGCTCGCAGCAGGTGTGAGCAAGGCTGACACTTGCAGCAGATGCGAGTGCCCAGTGGGACCACGGTGCACAGAAGCAAATAATTTTCAGTAAGCACCAGAGGCTTGCCCCAGTGACAGCGACCGGCAACCCGCCTTGGTCTGGAGCCCCTACTCACCTGCTCTACCATTCTGCTGCAGCCGATACCCGCCATGTTCCGTGCTCCACTGCCTGCTGTGGGCACCCATCATGTTCTATGCACGCCCCTCTTGTGGCCAGTGCATGTCATAGCAGCCAGTTGTTCAGCCATTTGGTCTATTTGCATATTAGGGTTTTATATAGATTTTTATACTCACAGGCCAAGGCTGTAGATCACGAAGTCCCTTTTCTAATTTCTCAACATCTGGAAACTTTGTGGCTCCATCAGCATCTGCCATAAGGATCTTTTCTCCTCGAGAACTGAATACACCCTGTATTAAAAAATTTCAATTAAAACAAAGTTGCTTAAAATTAAGGCTAAATTAAATGAAATACCTGTCTGTTCAGCTTTACTTAAAATATCTAAGGGTGAAATACCAGTATGTAATGATAGGAGGAGGCCAAAGTTCACTTAAAACAAATTAGATTGATTGGCTCTTCCTACATGTATGTAATGTCTATTTTATAGTTTTAAAAACTTTGTTAGGGTTTTGCTTGCCGAAACCAGTTTGGCTCAGTGGATAGAGTGTTGGCCTGCGGACTGGAAGGTCTCGGGTCAAGGGCATGTACCTTGGTTGCGGGCACATCCCCAGGAGGGGGTGTGCAAGAGGCAGCTGATCGATGTCTCTCTCTCGTCGATGTTTCTAACTCTATCACTCTTCTCTTCCTTGCTATAAAAAATCAATAAAATATATATATAAAAATATATAATAATAAAATAAAATAAAAAAACTTTGTGAGGTCATACAACTAATACCTTGAAGCTAAGAAAATACTTTTAAATAAATCAAAGATATTCTGAATTAACAGATTAAAAATGTGAAATGTCATCATATATAACATGTATGCATTGTTTATATATCACAGCACTTAGCATAGCATATCAAGAACATATTTATAGCTTGGCTGGCATGGCTCAGTAGTTGAACATCTACCTATGAACCAGGAGGTCACAGTTCAATTCCCAATCAGGGCACATGCCCAAGTTGCAGATTGTCTTTTAAATAAATTATTGAATAAATACAGAATTTCTCTAAATTTTAGAAAATGTGGTTACATCCATATAAACTGAGTGGCCAGATTATTATGACCATCCAATCAGCACTTCCGCTGGGCCACCTTTTGCCTCAATACCGCGGTGATTCTTCTTGGCACTGACTCCATGAGATGCTGAAAGGTAATGCGAGGAATCTGACACGATGCCTGATGAATAGCACCATCCAGTGCTGTGAGATTTGATGGTTGTGGAACCAGCTACCTGATGGCTTTTAACTTAATCCCACAAATGCTCAATTGGATTGAGATCTGGTAATTGTGGGGGGTCACCTAAGCAAGGTAAAGTCTCCCTCATATTCTTGAAACCACTCCTGTACAATATGAGCACTGTGGCATGGTACATTGTCTTATTGGAAGAAGCCATCTCCATTAGGATATGCCATCAACATGATAAGATGAACTTGATCAGCAATGATACTTAGGTATGTTGTGCTATTCACATGTTTTTCCACACAAATTAAAGGGCCCAAATTATGCCAGGAAAACATGCCCTAAACCATAAAGCTGCCCCTTCCATCTTAAAGGGTTGTACTCATGCATGTGGGATGCATGCTTTCATGCTGTTTCCACGAAATCCTCACTCTTCCATCTGTATGATGCAAATGGAAACGTGATTCATCAGACCACATGATTTTTTCCCAATCCTTGTGTTCCTGTGCGAATTGGAGACATTTTATCTTGGTAATTGCAGACAGCAAAGGTGTTCGAACAGGCCTTCAGCTTCCATATCCCATATGATGCAGTGTACGGCTAATTTGCTTACAAACAACAGGTGGTCAGAGTAATCTGGCCACTCAGTGTATATTGTTATATTAGGCAGATGACAATTAGCAAAATTATGCAATTTTAAATTGGTCATTTGTGCAAAATATGGCACAGAAATGAACTATATATATGTAAACATGTATATACACCAACTACATATTCAGATATATACACACATATATATACACACAACTGTATATATTTAGGTATATACATATATATTCAGGTATATACATATACATATATGTATAGTTGGTGTATATATATGTGTGTGTATATACACGCACACACATATATATACATGCACACACATATATACATCAACTTCTAATTTCATGGTGCACTTCAGTGAATTAATTTTTTCTTAAGTACAAATATATTTTACTTCATATAGTAAAATACAGCTTTGATAACACTCAAAAGCATAACTGCAGATAAAATATACACAAATGTGGATAGAAATTTATTTGATCATTTATTCTATGGATTAGATTCACTAATTAGTGTGTATAATATCATATTCATTAGCATATGGGTAAAAAAAGAAACGAAAATGTTATATTTAAGACCTAAATAACATATATGAAATTTTAGAAAAAAATATTACAAGGTACAAAATCTGTAGCTATAAATTTAATGTGGAAAAACAAATATTCGATAATAAAGGATTATTTCAATGATACATGATAAAGGTGAACTGGAGGTCATTAATGGAAAACTGTCCTTGGCTCTCTAACATGTTAATGCTGCCTCATCAATTTTGTAAATGGGGGTTCTTTAATGCTTGCTGCTCTTCCTTCTGCTATTGATGGCCTTCATTGCCATTCAGTCACTTCCAATACTTTCAGACTACTGACTTTTCTTCCGCCTTATGTGTCTCATTTCCCAAGGCTTAGTTCCTGACTCTTCTTTATTCCCTCTTCCTTGCCAATTTAATGGCTTCAACTATCACCTAATGTTTGTGACTACCACTATTGACTACCACTACTTGGTACCTCAAATTTAATATGGTTACAACTCCACTCAACATACAGTGTATGAATTTCGTGCACCAGGTATACTAGAAGCCCAGTGCACAAAATTCATGCATCGGGAGTGGGGATGGGGGAGTGTCCCTTAGCCCAGCCTGCAATCTCACCAATCTGGAACCCCTTGAATTAAAGGGCCCATATCATGCCAGGAAAACATGCCCTAAACCATAACACTGATTCCACCACCTTAAAGGGTTGTACTAATGCATGTTCGACTGCTGGTTTAGACCCATAAACAGGCAGTCAGACATCCCTCTCACAATCTGGGACTGCTGGCTCCTAACTCCTCACCTGCCTGATTGCCTCTTACTGCTTCTGCTTGCCAGCCTGACCACCCCCTAACCGCTCCCCTGCCAGGTTGATTTAACACCTAACTGCTCCCCTGCTGGCCCATTCACCCCCAACTGCCCACCCCTGCCGGCCAATTTGGTCTTGATTGGTTGGTTTCTATGCCAGTCAGCATCAAAAGCTCTGCCTCCTAGGCAGCCATTGGCTCCTCACAGAATCTTTAGAGTTCTATCAGCCAACATCTTTGTGAAGTCTACTATTTTTCTCATGTGCCTGAGACTGTTGTTGATTTACCCCAACATCTTTCCTTTCCTTCTTCATTACTAATGGAACCTTGATTTAGTGAAGAATGAATATATTAGTAAAAACATTTTTTAGTCTTCCTTGGAAATAGAGGTGGCCCTGTGATAATGTTCTGGCTAATGAAATTTAAGTTAGGTCATTGGGTGGAGCATTTGGGACTGCTCCTTAAAAGGGAGAAAACCAGTTGGAAAGCATCTTCTGCCCTTTGTCCTTCCTCCTATCTAGAATGTGGATGTAATTAATAGTGCTCCAAGAATCATCTTGTGTATATTAAGAAAAGGGAGTGAAAAGATAGGAGCTAGATTTCTGATGATACTGTGGAGTTGTTTAACAAGCTTTGGACTGTCTGTCTATATATATATATATATATATATACACACACACACACACACACACACACACACACACACACACTGTTTTTATGAAGGGTTGGGGAAGTGCTAAGTAAATAAAACTCCAAGTCATTTAGGCCATTATTGTTTGAAACTTTTTTCTCATAAATGACTTTTGGCTTTTTTGTTACTAAATCTTGATTCCTACCTGATATGCTTCAGGTGAAAGTAATCTCTTCTTTCTTGGAATTTCTATAGCACTTCATTTGTTTTTCTCTCATAAGTACAATCACCCTTTCTGTTACACTATCAATTTAATCAGGATAGACTATATCAGAATGGTCTTAGTTCATGGCACCCTGTTTAACACAGTGCCTTCATATAGGTAAAATTTAATACACAAGAGCACTTTGTAAACTGCAAAATAAACAAACAAAAACCAAACAAACATGTAATCTTATTATCCAGTGATTCTAACAAAGACAGATAGAAAAATGTGTCTTTGTTAGAATACTGGATAATTGATTTTTTAACATTTTAAACTTTGATTAAGATAAACATATATTTCTGAATCACCCAGTATGTTATAGATATCAAATATTTTCAGATTTGATCAAATATACCTATATATATAAAGTTATTACTAAGAATAATTTCCCACTAATTTGAAACACTGGTATTCAAATAGCTAGCTGTAGAATTCACATGTACTACAGTCTGCAAAAGAAGTTATTCAAAATATCTTTATATTTTATATACTTTTTAAATCTTCAGCCAAGGATATTTTTTTTCACTGATCTTTTCTTAGAAGTGATAAATACTCTTTATTTGATATTCTACACTAAAATGTCTTTCCTTCAGTAAAAGGCAATAGTTTAGATACAGGGAATTTTATTAAATTGGCACAGTTGGAATAAAAAAGATAAAATAGTCACTACCAGTTTATCTGCAGCTCTTGCCTTTTAACAGACTAATGAACACAGCTTAAAATATAGGCAAGTCTTGCAGGTCTAAGAGACAGTGAAGGGAATTCCTCAGAATTTAAACATATTAATACAACCAATTATGTAAATCTCAATATTAGCCAACCTCCTATAGATTTTGAGATGGCAATCACCACCTATGTGAAAAGTTAAACATTATGGATCAAATCCAATCCTATTTTTAGAAGACGGCAGTGATAGCACTTGTTGAACTAAAATTACCATCAAAGCTTAAAAAGTTGACCATATTCATTTAACCACAAGCCAATCTTATGTAAATCACGACTGCCCAAAAGGAATACTCTATTACCCATTCATGATCTGAATTTCGGTGTATGAGATCAATTTAAATATGATACACATGAAAAAAAAATCATGAGATATTTATAATAAATAAGGCAGTGGCTATTACTCATTAGTAGCTTTTTTGAGATAAGTTATCAAGTCTGCCCTTTCTGCATACTTCTTAATGTCAGCAAAAATCATTTTTATTCCAGGGATGTACTTCTTGTGATTCTCCAAATACTCTATCAGTGTAACCTCTCCCCAAGTGAGACCTTTGTTCTTTCTTTTTGTGTAAGAAAATCCAGAGGCCTGACCTGTCTTTCGCCAAGGCTTGTATTTGCCTCCCTTTTCCACAGTATGACACTGTGGCACATTTGTGAACAAAAATCTTCTTGCCCTTTTCAACATCACCCATTTTTAACTCACTCGTTAGTCATGTGCGACACAGAAGTTCCCACTTGCAAGCCAGATGTCACACTCTCTAACTCCACTGATTTTTAGAGAGAATGGAAGGGAGGTTAGGAGAAAGGGGGAGAGGTACAAAGAGAGAGAGACATACACACATCAATGTGAAAGAGACACATCAATTGGCTGTCTCCAGCAATGCCTCAACCAGGGCTGAGGATCGAACCTGCAACTTGTGCCCTTGAATGGGAATTGGGCTGACGCTCTAATCAATGAACAACACTGGCCAAGACAAAAATATCTTTATATTTTAGATAAAAATGTTGAAACTATGTATTACCATTTTAATAGCTCCACCTTTCCCACGATTCTTCACCAGAGTTATCACCCGTATTTTGTCACTTCCATATTTCTGGCAATATTTAAAAGCAACCTGTCAAATTACATAAAAGTGAGAAAAATTAACTTGGATTACAAAACCCTATAGAATAAAGAGGTAATATGCACACTGAACATCATGCCCTTGAACAAGATGGCTACTCTTATGTGGTCACAAGATGGCCAGCAGAGGAGGGCAGTTAGGGGCAACCAGGCCAACAGTTGAAGGCAGCTGGGGGTGATTGGGCCAGCAGGGGAGGACAGTTGGAGGTGACCAGGCTAGCAGGGGAGGGCAGTTGGGGGCAACTGGGCCAGCAGGGGAAGGCAGTGAGGTGTCGATCAAGCTGGCAGGCAAAAGTGGTTAGGGGTTGATCATTGGGCTGGCTGGCAAAAGTGGTTAGGGGTTGATTATTGAGCTGGCTGGCAAAAGTGGTTAGGAACAATCAGGCAGGAAGGTGATTGGTTGTGAGCCAGCACTCTAGGATTGTGAGAAGAATGTTCCCTGAGAGGTCCCAGATTGGAGAGGGTGCAGACTAGGCTAAGGGACATCCCCCAATTAGTGTACATATTTTGTGCACTAGGCCTCTAGTAGTAATACAAAGTGGGTTTCTTATTTTGGCTTAACCAGTTAACTGCCACGTGTCCAAAATGGAAACTATCCCCACATGCCATGATATTTTGAATTTAAAAAATCAATTTGCAATGAATATTATAAAAATAGATATATTACAATTCGGGAATTCTTGAATATTTTCAGTTGAAAATTCTCACAAAAAATGATTTTAAAGTTGGTCTATAGAGGCTTATGGCAGGCAAACTGTTAAACACTGCTATTTCAGTTGCCCTCTTCCTGTGAGTTTATTATACCCACCATGCATTTTGGTGGCCCAGGGGAGTTGTTGAATTCCTGGTGTTAAAATACGACACCAGGAGTTGACCTACTAGGCTAAAGTTAGACTTCACTTCCCTGCAGAGGATCCAGTAGCACAGGCAGCTGCTGTCCCCTTATTATCTCACCTTCTCTACCTATATCTAAATCCAGTCTAATACTAGGAATGCTTAAGAGCCTTCTCAAAGATGCAAATAATCCTTTGCATTAATATTTACCAGGTAAACTAAAATTATTGTTAGAGTATTAAATTTTATAGTAAAATAGTCAAGTTTTCAGATTAATTTAAATTGGCTAATTGAAGTAAGTAAATATTCAAGAAAATTTCATTGTACAAAAAGCTGTTTCTAAAGTATTAACTAAATTTTTTCTATTGGTAGTTCATTTCATGGTAAAATTGCTTAACATGTAATGAACCTAAAAACAATCATATTTTTGTGCAAAAAAATAAAAATTTGAAAACTGCATTATAAAAATTTTCAAAAGCCTCCTAATAATTAAATAAAAAAAAGGGTGGGGGGGTGGAGTGGAAAAATATTATGTAAGGAAACATATCCAGAAATTTTTTTTCCTTTAAAAACTAATTTTCATTTATAATGCTAACAGCAGGATGAAAAACATACGTGATGTCAGAATAAGCCAAAGGAAAATCATTTGGGCAAAAAATAAAAAGGATCCCAAGTAAAATTTATAGAAAAGATTCCATTATTAACTTTTGGTAGAGAATATGTTTGTATCTTTTCAGAAAACAACTCCAAGACCATGTGGATTCCTGCAACAGAGTGGAATTGACAGGAATACTTCAGCCATGAAGACAAGAGGAGAAACAGTCCAGACATGTAAGACGCTGACAATGCCTTGCCATACTAGCAGATAGAAGCTGTGTGTCGCTGCAGGTTGCCCAGGACCAAACCAGAGGTCGGACCTGCATAGCCACCATTTGTCCACCATCCAGATACCATTGCTGACATGTACTCAAAAAGCTGTTGGACATTGAATCTGGGATTAAAAAACTGTTGGCCCAGAAAGAAACTTACTGCAGAGTGAGTTCATTTGATTCTCAGCATAGCCATTGTTGCTTGTCTCATTTTTTATTTATTTCTAGTCTGCATATGCAAAATTTTTTAAGGAAAGAAAAGGAGGGAGATGTTGGAAACAAATCAGTTTCACTAAAAGAGAGATGTTGACAGGAAGCCAGGAAGGCTGGTCAACAACCTTAATTGCTCTAACCACTCACCCTTTAGTTGAGATATTGTTAGCAGCCTCCGCCTTGTTTGTCCCGTGAAAGTTTCTGTTATTTCCTGCCTAAAGGCTACATGTACATTTTTGTTTATCTTGCCTAAGATGTTTTCCCAAAGCCTCAATAAAAGGGATGGCAGGAGTAGTTCTCCCACTAGAGTTGGACTACTGCCTGCTCCCCGCCCCACCACCCCCCCTCCCCACTATATCGTCAAATTGAATTTCTTCAAGTCTTTTTTTCATTTGTGTGTGGCCCTTCTCCAGAACCTGAACCCTGAACTGGAACCCTTTCCACGTGGGACGTGAAAGAGATTCATACATTTACTCATCACATAATGTAACTGCAGACCTTGCCCACCAGGTAGTGGGCTACTTAAAAGCTAATCTTACTATTTCTAGTGCCTGACACATAGTCTAGAATTGATTAATCTCAATGAACAAATGCAGCTATAGTCCTTTGTACATACTCCTATTACAGCATTATGGTAGACACTGTTAGCCACCTACCCAACAAATAATGCCTCTTTCTTCCTTACTATTATGGCTTCAATCTTACATAGTGACAGTGTGTACAGGACTAGACAATGAATCATGATTGGTCTAAATCTGCTTTGCCAAGTATTATACTTTCCCAATGTCCAACAGCTTGCAGGTATGGGTGGTCATGTCACCAACTTCTGGCTAATGAAGTCTATTGGAGGTCTGCTGGAGGATAAGGCTTTTAGTAAAGCTTTCTATTTCCCATTAAAAAGAACAGAGTTAATCGAAGATAAATCTTAATGTCCTGGCTATTTCTTACTGCTTAGGACATGCAATATTTGGAGCTGTGGTAATTTTGTGATGAGGAAGGATATGAGAATTGAAAAGTTGCTTTACCTCAACTGGGCTGCTGCTGCTTCTAACAACTCAGCAAGTGATCAATGTTTATTTTCTAAGCCCTTCCTTTCATGTAATTAACAAATTTCTGGAATAGTCTATGTTTATGTTTTTCATTTGACATCCATTATTCAAAGCAGTTCCCATAATACTGTCTGGCCTCTATGCCTTTGTTTACACTATATTTTCAATCTGAAAATACTATCCTCCATGTTTTTAGTCATAACTATCCTTAAAAGTTCAGATCAAAAGTCACTTCTCTTTCTCTCAAATTCTTTACAATATTTTATTTTCAGCACTTTTTACCTGCATTACAGAATTTATGAAAATGTTGCACAAATGTCCTGAAGGCTTCTTGAACAAACAACTGGACTCATGTATTTGTATAGTTCCTCCAGCGCCTAGAACTTCATGTATACTTGGTATTTGTATATTTGGTATTTAATAAAAAACCATTACTGATGAATAATCAAGTAAACAGGTGTTTCCCTATGTACTTATTATAAGGTACATTATGTTGCTATGTAACAAGAATATTAATAGCACCATAAATGAATCTTTTATTAAAAAAATAGAAATATCATGCCTACATGTATGTATGTATGTACGTGTGTATGTGTGTGTGTGTGTGTGTGTGTGTGTGTGTATCAAAGAAAAAATGTGAAACATCCTAATATATAAAAAACCTGGGTTGAAACAATGAGTAACAACCAGAGGCTAACCAACTGAAGTCAATGCTGGCCCTGCCCCAAACAAGAGGTAAGGGGCAATCAGACAGGCAGAGGGGTTAGGAGTGATCAAGTAGGCAGACCAGCAGTTAGGGGTGATCAGGAAGGCAGACAAGTGGTTAAGGGAGATCAGATAAGCAGGCCAGTGGTTAGGGGTTATCAAGTAGGCAGAAAATCCCTAGCAGGGCTGTCCCCACTCCCAAGCAAGCGGTTAGGGACAATCAGGAGGCAGGCAGAGGGGTTAGGAGTGATCAAATAGGCAGACCAGTGGTTAGGAGTGATCAGGTAGGCAGACAACTCCTAGCAGGGTTGCCCGCCCCCCCCTCCCCAAGCAATAATTAGGGGCAATCAGGCAGGGAGGCAGAGGGGTTGGGGTGATCAGATAGGCAGACCAGCAGTTAGGGGTGATCAGGTAGATAGGCGAGCAGTTAGGGGTAATCAGGTAGGCAGACAGCCACTCACAGGGCTGGTCCCCTCCCCAGCAAAGAAAGAGGGAGACCCAGGTCAGACAAGCCATTGCACCCCAGCCTGTTGCCTGCAGAGGGAGGCCACTGGTGGCAGGGGAGGGAGGAACAGTGCTACACATGGCAATCTGTGGCAGCCAAGGGGGTAGGGCCAGCTGCCCCAGCCCAGGGAAAGAAAACCCCAATAGGCCCTAATCTCAGGTCAAGTCTAGGGACCGAGGGGTCCCAGATTGTGAGAAGGTGCAGGCCAGACTGAGGACACCCCGCTCCCGAGTACACAAATTTTCGTGTATCAGGCCCCTAGTTAATAATAAAAACACTTAGATGTTTGAAGAGTAATTTACCAGGGTCACTGGCAAGACTTAATAAATGTACTACTGCAAAACTAGGTGTACCTGGGCCTGGCAGCTACAGGTCTAAGAATGGAGGAATAAGCGGGGATAATACTTAAAGACACTGTTACCTCCTATGGGTAAATCTAGATGGGGGTATGGCAAAGGATATATCTGATACCCAGTGGTGATATGAAGGCATCTTCATATTTAAATGACTGCATTAAAATCTGCCAGACAAGGTGTGGCATAAAGAATAGAATCATGCTTAATAAAAGAAGGACCATAAATTGACAGGCAAGGAGGGTTCCCAAGAGGCCAAGGTGAACTGTTGTTGTGCATGTTCTCTCACATTTGCTGATCTTCAAAGTTTCCCTGGTTTTATGAAATAGTGGAATAATAGATATAGTTTCCAGCTTTCCATGAATAAAATCTCTGCTTCTTCTACTACCCATAATGTAGCAATGGAAAGTATTTAGCAAAACTTGAGGGTTCTTGCCCTAACTGGTTTGGCTCAGCGGATAGAGCATTGGCCTGTGGACTCAAAGGTCTCAGGTTAAATTCCAGTCAAGGGCATGCACCTTGGTTGTGGGCACATCCCCAGTAGGGGGTGTGCAGGAGGCAGCTGATTGATGTTTCTCTCTCATTGATGTTTCTAACTCTCTCTCTCTCTCTCCCTTTCCCTCTCCCTCTCTGTAAAAAATCAATGAAATGTATTTTAAAAAAAAAAAATAAACTTGAGGGTTCTCTGATGAACAAAACTAAGATTTTACACCTGCTAAATTAATTATTCCATATTTTCTAGCTACTGGCAATTCTAAAAGCAAGTTTACTTACCTTCGAAGTCTGGTCTTTGCTGCCATCGTCAACTACTATCACCTCATAAGTAAAAGTAGGATCTTGTTTCTGTAAGAAGCAAAAATAACATACCACAATTTGGCATAACTGCCATAAAGAACTTTAAAAAGAATTTAAAATAATTGTTGTAGTGTTAACGTGTATATGAAGTAGTGAATAAACCACATAAGATTAAAAGGCCAGAACAAACAGGAAAGACCCTAGATAGGAGTAGAGGGTGGATACTAAGTCTCTGTGAGCATCCTGCTCTTCCTGTCGCATGTCAGTGAAGGAGCCAGTTTCTTGTGGTGCTGAGTACATCTGTGAGATGCTACCAGGTGTATGAGAAAAAAACTCAAGAAGTTTGAAGTCAGAGAGTGTAGATTCCAACCTGGATGCACTCCTTAGCCTTATGACCTTAGGCAAGTTAACATTTTTGCCCCATTTTCTCATTAAAAACAACAACAGAAAACTAGTCTATGTGACTGATATAAAATTACATGTAATAGAAGAGATAGTCACCTACAATAAGACCTCAATTCTCTTTCTCTTTGAAATTTAATTTTTGAGTAGATAATTTGAGCTCCTCTCTTTTGATGACTCTTCTATCTTCCCTTTCCACACACACAAAAAAAATCTAAAGTAAATCAAAACAAGAAATTTTCTTTAAAAAAATTCAGCCACAAAGCTTACTTGTTTTTTTAAACTCTTCAAGAAGATTCCAACAGCAGTTGATGCTATAAAACAGTGGCACATATTATCTTTCTTTTCTTTAGCAGGAAAAAATGAGGAAAATAAATGAGGAGAGACTCTTAAGAATAATAAAGAAATACAAAATAATTTCACCTTAAGTGTGTCTTTCAAATAAATTAAAAAATCACAGAAGTGCAAGCAGCATTGTGCTATATTATACAAAGTCTGCAGAAACTCTATCACTCAATTTTATGTATAAAATCAGGCAAGAGAAGATAAAACATCGGTAGGTGGGTACATAAGGAAAATGTCAGCTTTCAGCTTGCTTTCAGGTCACTACCTGCCTCTGGAAGAAGTGAGTACCTGCTGGGGTTGCCTAGTAACAAGCTGAGAACAGGAGCCAGTGATGATGACCCACGCAGAACCAACATTGCCTTTCACAGTGGGTCTCACCTGGGATCCACCAGTTGGTAACCTGGTCTAGTTTTAATTGGAGACATTATATTAAAAGAGAAAACATGATACCTGTCTCTCTTCTAGATATCCCAGAGCTTCATCCATCATTATAGGCACTTAAAAAAAAAAAAAAGGTACATTAAAAATTGCTTTTGAAATTGTTATAGGATTCCAGGGCAGGAGGAATAGGGAAACTGAGATAGGAAAGTTAAATCAAGGCCAAACAGTGTGGGCAATCTGCATCCAGCTTGTAACTAACAAGTCATTATCTTCCCCAGTGAAGGACAGTTGAGAGCAAATGGTTAAAACCCTCAATGAGAGAATTCAGAAAAGGAGGGAAAAAGGGGATAGAAAAAAGGGCACTTTTACTTCCTAAGCAGAGAAGCCGGCAGTCTCAAGGCTTGGCAAGGTAAAGTTGCCAGGTGTTTTTCATGATTTCTGGGAAGGCCACAACAAAGTAAAAAAAAGGGACATTGAACTCTAGCTCCATGGTTGGCAAACTGCGGCTTGCCAGCCACATGCGGCTCTTTGGCCCCTTGAGTGTGGCTCTTCCACAAAATACGGCCTAGGTGAATCTATTTTGAAGAAGTGGTGTTAGAAGAAGTTTAAGTTTAAAAAATTTGGCTCTCAAAAGAAATTTCAATCGATGTACTGTTGATATTTGGCTCTGTTGACTAATGAGTTTGCCGACCACTGCCCTAGCTGATTTGGCTCAGTGGATAGAGTGGTCGGTCTGCAGACTGAAGAGTCCCGGATTCATTTTCAGTCAAGGGCACATGCCCAGGCTGTGAACTTGATCCCCAGTAGAGGGCATGAAGGAAGCAGCGAATCAATGATTCTCTCTTATCATTAATGTTTCTCTCTATCCCTCTCCCTTCCTCTCTGAAATCAATTTAAAAAAAAAGGGGGGGGGGTAGGAGAATCTTGTGAATTAATCTGTATCAAAATATTAAATAAAGGAATTTTGTAACCTATAGAAAGGAGGGTATATAATACCTCGGACCTCCACCCAAACTGCTCTTCAGATTAGTTGAGAGCCCATCTGTGCTTCATGAGCCAGATATATAGGTATGCTTGCTTTGCTTTTTCAATAAAGGTGCATGCTTTAATTGCTTTAATAAATTGGTTTTTCACACTGCAATCATGATCTCTCTTAGAAATTCATTTACACTGAATGGCCAAACTATAATGGTCTCTGAACACATAATAATCTGGCCACTTAGTGTAAGTATTAGAGCCCGGTGCATGAATTTGTGCATGGGTGGGTGCAGCCAGCCTGGCCAGGGGGAGGGGACAGGATGGTTGCCTGGTCGAGCTCCTGGTCAAGGGGGCAATTTGCATATTAGCCTTTTATTATAAAGGACTATATAGAATATACACTGAGTAGCCAGATTATTATGTGTTCAGAGATCATAATAATTTGGCCACTCAGTGTGGGTGAAAAGACAAGGATTGAAGTGGTCTAGGAACACCTCACTGGAGTTGGTGAGAAGTTACTTTAGCAAAATGATTTATCAAGTTCTAACACACTCAGTTTACTTTTGGAAAAAAAAACATATAATTTAAGAAGCTACTCTGGGACCTTCCGGCACGCACCATTTTGGAACACCTGTCTGTTGTTCATATCTTGCTCATTACTCCTCAAGTCCACTTCAGTCTCACTATTTTATGCTGCTGCTCATAGCCTCATAGCTAATATTCTCTTTTCCTCTTCTGAGCTGCAACTACCAACTAATTAGATACTCACCACAGCCCATATCTATTAAAGTTCTGGGAAAGGCAGTAAAATGCAATACTATAAATTTCCCTCTCTTCCCAAATCATCCTTTACCAGAAAATCAAAAAGGGCTTACACCGCTTTTCTTCATTGTATGAAGGCACAACAATAGAAAGCTGTTTAGTAGGCGAGTCCCTTATGCTGGGTAGAGTTTCCTTCTGTCCTCTAGCATTTAAGAAGAACTTCTCTTCTTCATGTCGATGGAGAGGTGGCATTTCTGTAGCAGTAACAAATGCAACAAAGGAAATCTAAAAGCAGATATGTTAAAAAGAAATTGTTAGGTTCACCTTTTTTACATTTGTTGTGTTCTAATGCTGTATCATTTATGTAATTTCCCTCCCTTGGTTGGAATATTTATTCTCAGTTTTTAGTCCATTAATAATGGTCTGGAGGTGACTCCAAAATTCAAACCAGTCTTAAGAACAGTGTAATGTATTAATGTCTTAAGAGACTGTCTCTTCCCACTTGTCATTCCCTAGGGTTCTGTCATCCCAGATCGAACAGGGAACAAATTACAGAAGTACAATTCGCTCTTAGACGTGCCAAACCCCGAAACCTGTTCACACATATAGTGAGGTACTATCCCTACTTGGAGCCTATATGTGACAGAGAACAAGTTCATATAACAATTGGAACATGTGGGATGAAGGCAGACCTCCCATCCAGGACCAGATTGACCCAGGGTATAAAGGAAAGATTCTCCCAATCCCCATACTGGGGACTAATAATGCTTAAGAATTCTTGGCACTTACCTCCATATTTCAACTCAAAATATAATATTTTCTGGAGTAAAGTATCAAACTTGTAGAATATGTATCGAATATTGGTCAGTGCCATGCACTGTTAATATTATAGCCCCTTTAATTTTTGTGTATGGTGTGAATTAGTGATCTAGTTTTACTTTAGATCACCAACTTACACCATACACAAAAATAAACTCAAAATGGATACAGGACTTAAACATAAGACGGGAAACCATAAAAACTAGAGGACTCCACAGGCAGCAAAACCTCAGACATATGCCAAAAGAACTTCACTGATACTGCCCCTAGGGCAATGGAAGCTAAAGAAAAAATAAACAAATGGGATTACATCAAAATAAAAAACTTTTTTACAGCAAAAGAAACCATCAACAAAACAATAAGAAAGCCTACTATATGGGAGAACATATTTGCCAATGTCATCACTGATAAAGGTTTAATCTCCAACATCTACAGGCAGCTTATACAACTTAATAAAAAGAAGATAAATGATGCAATTAAAAAATGGGCAAAGGACCTAAATAGAATCTTTTTGAAAGAAGACAGAAGGAAGGCCAAGAGACACATGAAAACATACTCAAAGTCACTAATTACCCGAGAGATGCAAAGCAAAATGACAATGCGGTACTATCTCACACCTGTTACAATTGCTATTATCAACAAATCAACAAATATCAAGTGTTGGCAAGGATGCAGAGAAAAAGGAACCCTCGTGCACTGCTGGTGGGAATGCAGACTGATGCAACCACTGTGGAGAACAGTGTGGAGTTTCCTCAAAAAACTGAAAATGGAACTGCCATTTGACCCAGTAATCCCACTGCTAGGAAATATCCTAAAAAATCAGAAACACCAATCAAAAATGATATATGCACTACTATGTTCATAATAGCACAATTTACAATAGCTAGGATTTAGAAACAGCCTAGGTGCCCATCACCAGATGACTGGATCAGAAAACTATGGTACATCTACACCATGGAATACTATGCTGCCATAAAAAAGAAGGAATTCTTATAATTTGCAGCAACCTGGATGGAATCGGAGAACATCATGCTAAGTGAAATAAGCCAGTCAATGAAAGAAAAACACCACATGATTGCACTCATTTATGGATAATAAAGAACATTATAAACTGATGAACAAATAGATACAGAGACAGTAAAGCATCAAACAGTCTGTTAAATTATAGCAGGAAGGTTAGGGAGAGGTGGGGGAGAAAAGAGATTAATCAAAGGACTTGTATGCATGCATATATGCATAATCAATGGATGCAAAACACTAGGAGGTAAGGGCATGTATGGGCAAGGGGGGGGAATAGTAAGATATGTACACATATAATACCTTAATAAAAAAATGGAAAAAAAATATTATTGCCTGGTGCACAAAGGCTCATGCAATAATGGGCCTTTCTTCCATAGGCTGCTGGCACCACTTCACTCCGGCTGAAGCTGCATTTCCACCTTCCCATGTTGGCCAGAGACCTGGAGCACCTAGGGCAGTGTGGAATGCCTGCATCATTCCCATAGTGATGACACAACATCCCACCCTGGCCGCTTGGTGCCTGTGTATACAAATTAACCAAATTAACCCACCATCTTTGTTGGGTTAATTTGCATGCTCACGCCTGATTGGCTGGTTGGCGTGACAAAGGTATGGTCAATTTGCATCTTTCTCTTTTATTAGTGTAATATCCCTTACACATATGATTAGGAGCTAACTTTGAAATAGCTATTCTTTGGAATACTACTTCTATTGGCACACCTGTTTCTAAACAATCTACATATTACTCATTTGTAATTTGACAATCATTTATAATGTTCCATTGGGTACAAACTGAAATTGCATATGCTTGTGATTGGTGTAAGCATGGACAGTATCCCGAATAGTGGGTCCAAGTTATTGCTCTGCATCTCTGGTATCCAGATTGTATTTTGTAAATTCTACCTCTCACTAGAAGCAACCAGTGTTCTAAGAAGAATGTATGGTTCAAGTTGGGGCAGGAAATGGGCAATGGTGGAATAGCACATCAATGATAATGAGGATGATGCAAAAAAGGATAAAGTAGCCAACTTGAGGGGCTCTCATTGCCTTATGATGGGAGGATTTTGAGCTTCAAATTGCTGTAAATCCATTGAAACAAATGAAAAATATTTTAAATCATGGATTTATAACACTAAAAATAAAAAAAATTAATTGGTTAAGATGCCAGGGAACTATGTGATTATTTTGAAATCTTACTTTTTATCTTACCTTGTATATATGAACAGTATTTCAGGTTAATTGGTAGCTGAGGATTAAATTATTTTTCATTATTGGTTTCTAGATAATATACGAAGAAATGGTAAATTAGAATATTTTACTTTTACCAGTGAAATGATGAATTTAGATATATTCCCAGTGAAATAATGTATTTAAGTAGTGATCATCAATGCTAAAAACCTTTAGATAAATGACAAATTTTATAACTGATGGGTCAGACTAACAACATCTTAACACCAAAAAAATCATGCATTATAAATCTCTTAGTGTTATAAAAGAGGAAGTATTCAGCATCACTCACACATTTTTCTTGATTAAAAAAGTCAAACAAACATTTCATAAGTCTCTAGATGTAACTACTAGTTTACAAAAAATTCAAGAGACAGAGCGAGTAAAATGCAGACTATGAGAAATTCTACAGAAAAAAATGACCACTTATTAAAGACTAATGATCCCATGCATGAAATTCATGCACATTAAAAGGGGATTAGACAACATAATTTAATACTGCTATTTGCCCTTTTTCTATAATAGAAGTATCAGAGATTAAAGAAAATTAGTAAAATGTATATGAAAACCTTCCTCCTATGAGAGTCTGGGGCTCACCTTGGGACCCAGAGTCAAGTTCCCAACCACCCACATGCACCTCAAAATTGTGTGAGACCCAGACCAGTCTGCCCTCCTACCCCCGACTCTCCCATCCCCCCCCCCCCCCCCCCTGCATTGGGCTAGATCAGTGGTTGGTAAACTGCAGCTTGTGAGCCACATATGGCTCTTTGGCTCCTTGAGTGTGGCTCTTCCACAAAATACCACGTACCCTAATTAAGTTAATAACAATGCACTTACCTATATAGTTTAAATTTATATAGTTTAAGTTTAAAAAATTTGGCTCTCAAAAGAAAATTCAATCATTGCACTGTTGATATTTGGTTCTGTTGACTAATGAGCTTGCTGACCACTGGACTAGATCCAGACCCAGCCAGTCCCACCCTTGTCAAGCCCTGCCGGGCAGGGAGAGTAGCCTCAAGTTCCTTGGCCCAGTGCCAGGATGGGGGATGTGGCCTGAGGCCCCCAGCCCAGACCAAGGAGGGGGGCATGCCTTGAAGTCCCCTGTCAAGCCCACCCAGGCAGGGGACACGGCCTGAGGTCGCCTGTCAATTCCCATGGGGGCGGGGGAGGGCATAACCTCAGGTCCTGGCTGATTGCTTGTTAAGGCTCCTTATGGGAACTTGGCCTCAGCTGTGGGTGGAGCTATCTTTGTGATGAAGTGATGGTCATTTAGCATATTCCCTCTTTATTAGATAGGATAAGGGGGAAAATGGGAAGAGAAATTGTTATAGATCAAAGGACTTGAGACATCAATTAAGTGCTAAGTGTGTGTGAATGTGACTGGAAAAAACTGACTATTCTATCAGGCATTGAACTGATAGGGTATTTAAAACCACTAAATGTGGTTAATGTAAAAAATAATTTGTGAGAATCCTATTGCCATTATATTTTCAAAAGGGGCCTACCTTTTTAAATAAAAGCTAAGGCTTTATAAGTAAATATTATGTCTTGGATTTGCTTCAAAATAACCCAGAAGGAAGTGGGTGGGGAGAAAGTATGCATGAGGGATGGAAATAAATATAACATATTAGTGGCCCAGTGCATGGATTCATGCACATTTAAAGGAAATTAATTAGAAGAAAGAGTTTTATAGGTATCGTGCATACGCAAGTCAGCATTTATTTTTCAATTGCCAGTGGGCGTCATATATACCAGTTGTTGGTTGGTGGTCGGAAGGACGTATGGTTGGTCACTTAGCTTTTTATATATATAGATAGATAAAACAAGATTTGTGGGGGGTTTTGGGGTAATAATTACACCCTCTATCTGGCATTTAAAAAAAAAAAACAAGTTCCAGGAGCAGTTTGACATTTGTGCATATGAGCTCTTTAACCTCAGTTTCCTCACCAGTCAAATAAAGCTATTATTTGTCAGTGTTGTTTTAAGACCAAATTTATTGAATACTTACAATATATTTTAAGTATTCAATAAATGGTAGCTCTTACAATCACTTCAAGCTGTGGGATCAACTAATTCTAGTACAAACTCATAATGTACACATGTAAATCTGTAACAGATTCAATATAAGGCAGATCAATTTAAGATTTTCATCAAACCCTAACCTGCCCACAGCCTGACTTGCTCAAAACCCTGAAAAAAAAAAATCCAAAATCTCCATATACAATTAAGAAAAGGCGAGGACTCCTCTCTCACTTAGACACAAATCACCCCAAGAAATATAAAAAAGTGATTTTTCTCTAGCTAAACTGTTTCTAAGCTGTGAGTTTATAGACTTTCTGGCAAGATGACAGAGACCTTCCTGGCTGCTAATCTGAATGTCAAGGAAGCTGAAACCTCTCCATTAACTAACTAGAGAGCAGGCTCATTCCAAATCATATGGGAGAAAGTTCACTTGGCATACTTTCTACTACTTACGGATCAGCAAGTATTTACAATCCGTTTCCAAAATAATGGCTATATATATATATATATATATATATATATATATATGAGTTTGAATCATACTGTACTGCATCATTTCGAGGCAGCAAATTTAGGGTGTTTAATTCTGGGACATAATGATCCCCAAACAGATGTTAACATCAGGTCTTGCCTATCTTGGTGTTCCTGTGTTCCAAGTGGGTCTTTTTGATCCACTAATTTCAATTTGTAATAGATGGCTCCTGTTAGTGCTCGTTAACCGCTATTTGCTTAACCACATAAGGAAAAGGGAGACTAGAGAGCACTCACCTTCTAGGGGCTTAAGACCTCCCCGTCGGGGCAAGATGCAGAGGGCACAGACCAGGGAGGGTCTTGGAGAGGTCGGGATGGACAAAAGATCTGGGGACAAGGGGACGGACGACTGAGGAGTGTGTGGTCACGTCTCAAAGTGAACAAATATATAAAGCTCTGAGTACTTAGGAACATAGAGCACCAAAGTAAAAATAAACAAGGAAGAAAGGGGCGTGAAATTAAGAAGAGGAATTCTGGGATAAAGGTTGGGGATAAGCATGATGAAAGAGGACACAGAAGAGCCGAGAGCGCGGAGAGAATGCCTGGGCTTTGTCTCCAGAAGACCAATGAACCCAGGCCCGCGTTAGTCCCCAACCCCTCTTCTCACCAGTATTAGGGCTGCGGCCGCCAGCGCCACGCCGAGCACCGCGCCGAGCACCACGAGCTGCAGCGAGAGCGAAGCCATCCTCCAACACCGCCTGCAGCCGCCCGATCCGGCACCCAGACACGCACACGGAAGCCGGTGGCACAGCCCCGCCTCCCGCCCGCAGAGGCCGCCGTGCCGGCACCTGCCGCCCACAGCGCCCTCGCGCGGCAAGGCGAAGAAAACGTAGTAGTTTGCCAGGCACCTTGTTTCCAAGTAGGGTTGCCAGAATTTCCAAGAAAAACACAGGCTTAATTTGAATTTCAGATAAACAACATAAGTTATTTTAAAAAGCCTTATTAGAATATAATTGCAAAACCATATAACCCACCCATTTAAAAGTTTTGGTATGTCATCGTTTTTAAAACGGTGATTTTTAAAAACATTTTAACATGGAAATGTACAATACAGTGGCATTAATTAAATTACACAATTTTCTGCAACCATCACTATCATTTCTAAAACTTTCCCGGCTCCCCAGCCCTTGGTAACAACCACCAATATACACCACTGGAAGCGTACTCATAATAGGAAATTACTTTGTTTATCTGACATTCAAATTTAATTGGCTGTACTTTATTTTCTGGCAACCCTATCCAGAAGAAAGGACACAGCCTACAAAACCAGCAGCTCCTGTGGAGACCGCCCGGAACTTGCAAAGTGTAACCGCGGGAAATTTACGTAATCTCCGGTGCTAGAGCTGGGAGATTTTTACCTAGGAGAATGAAGAGGCGGGGAAGGGCGTAGAAATTTTGCAGTAATGCTTCACACTCAGTACAGTATTATTTGCTATCGAGTGAACAAGCCGGCTGTTTCTAAAGAGAAACGCTCACCACTGATCGAATAGCAGATTCGTCAAAATCTGTAGACGGCAAAGAAACCGAAAGAGGCTTCCAGCAAGAGACCGTGGAAACTAAGGCGGGTCAATAACCACTGTAGTTGCACCTTCTGCGTATCCCGATACGGGAGAAGGGCACTCGGTTCCTCGTCGAAAGTGTGGAAGCGGAGCAGGCGCGCGTCCTGGAGGCCGAAGTCGCCGCAGCGCAGGCGCAGAAGCAGGCTCGCGAGAAGATGGCGGCTGGGTTCAAGTGAGTATTGGCGGCTGGCGTGCACGTTTGTTCCCTGGCAGATGGTGGCTTCCCTTAACCGTTAGCTGGGGTTTTCTCACCTGGAGGCCACCCCACTTATCCCCGCGGAAGCAGGCCACGGGGTCGGAGGACCTGGAGGTGGTCGTAGGGGGGAAAAAAAGGGCTCCTTCCCTCCAGGGAGGCGGAAGGTGGAGGGTGTGTGAGCGTGAGTTCAGTGCCCGCCGGGAGTGTTTTCGGTGGAAGTGGGGTAGCCTCTTCCTCATTGGGTGCTTAGGTGGGGTATTTGGTTTTCCCTTTGTTCTTTTCTGGTTATTAATATCTAGATTAATTTCAAGGGTATCAGAAGCACTGTAGTTTGGTAGTGGATGTGCAGCCCCAGGAGACAGTTGTATGTTTTTATTTTTATTTTATTATAAATATATCTTGAACCTGGGACCCTTCAGTCTGCAGGTCCATGCTCTATCCACTGAGCCAAACCGGTTTCGACAGTTGTATGTTTTTAAAGAGGGTTGCATCTGGCTCAGCTGGCGTGGCTTAGTGATTGAGCATCGACCATTGAACCCTGAGGTCAAAGTTCGATTCCTGGTTAGGGCACACGCACGGTTTGTGGAGCAAGTGTTGCATCAGAACCACGTGCCACTCCATTCTCCTTCAGTAAGTTATTTCTAAGAGGACTGTGCCTTGTTTGGCAGTTTTTTTAATAGGCCTTTGTGTGTGTGTGTGTTCCACTCTGGTGAAACCAATAGATTTTCATTTTTAGAGTCAAGTTTTTAAACATATAAATAGGATTCCAAAGGAAACCGATTTATTGAAAAAGTTACCTATTTGTATAAAATCTCAAGTGTATGATATAGTGTTGGACATAAACTTGCTTTTAAAATTAACTTTCTTAAGCAAGATCAACTATTTTAAAAAATGAAAATTTTCAGTGTTTGTGGTTGTGCTAAAGTCGCAGGTACAGCTAATATAATAGTTTATTGTCCACAGTCATAATTGAAGAATATACTAAATCTAGTTACTGGATAGTAAAAATAAAGATGTACCTTTTTTTTCATTCTCGCTAAGAATCCCTTCTTCAGAGAGACAGAGAGTGCTAGTTACTCTTCTTAAAGATGCCCAAAGGCTTTGGGCTCCAATACTGTAATTAAAGCAGGGTTATGGGCAGCAGTTAATAACTGTGATTGCAACAGCAAGAGTATTTACTTTTTATAAAGAGTTACATGTGGCAACAAACACATCAGAATATATGAAGGAAACTTACATGTTGTGGAGACTTAACTCTGTCTCACTACACTTTTAAGATATTTGCTAGTTTCTGAGTTTATGTTAAGATTCATTACTTCACATATATTTTTAATATGTTTCAGAACTGTGGAACCTCTGGAGTATTACAGGAGATTTTTGGTGAGTAAAAGAGGTTATGTAGATGTTATGTCTTTTGATAATATATGCTTTAAAGACAATGTCATGCCGAAACCGGTTTGGCTCAGTGGAAGAGCATCAGTCTGCGGACTGTAGGGCCCCAGGTTCGATTCCGGTCAGGGGCATGTACATTGGTTGCGGGCACATCCCCGGTGGGGGGTGTGCAAGAGGCAGCTGGTCGATGTTTCTTTCTCATCGACGTTTCTACCTCTCTATCTCTCTCCCTTTCTCTCTGTTAAAAATCAATAAAATATATTGTTAAAAAAAATAAATAAATAAAAATAAAGACAATGTCATATATATTATACAAATATTGAACATTGTTACATTGTACAACTGAAACAATTATCAGTTATATAAAAAAAATTCAAAATAATTTCAACTAACAAGGTTTAATGTGTTTTCCTTGGTTCTGTATAAAATATACACATATATGTGCTTTACTTTCATATAAATTTATTTAGAAAGAGAACTGCCGTCCTGATGGAAGAGAACTTGGTGAATTCAGAACCACAACTGTTAACATAGGTGAGAATATTGAGTTCTAAAATAAGAATGTTGAAGTTGCTTCAGTTTTGAAAATATAATTTTTCTTGTTTTTTTTTTATACTAGTAAAAAAATTTTATTTGTCAAGTTTTTTAAAACTCACTTTATATGTTCTCAATTTATATGCTCTTTATTTACAACTTAAAAGTAACTATAGTTTTTCCCCATTCCTTCCATACCTCCAAGACATGAATCCATTATGTTTTAAACTAGTTAAACCTGCTGTTGCAAATATGGAATTTTCCAATATTACCCTTATGGCATTCCCAAATTTTAGCCTCTGATCCACTTAACCAGTGTTTTGGCCAAATTCTACTATGTTTAAGGGATTTTGGTGATTTTGTGTAAAGAGATTTTTTTATCTGTTCACTGCTGTGCCTGAATAAAAAAATTATTGACTCAAATTCAAGGACAGGTGAATAATTCTTAAAACAGTAGATTTAAGTACTTATACCACTTTTTAAAAATTTGAGCTAGTAATTTAATAAGCAACTGGTTTGCGTAGCAATATAAAATCATGTAGAAAACAAAAACACTTTTTATGGACCCTTTCATTTTGTTTAAATACTTCTTTTCAGGTTCAGTTAGCACTGCAGATGGTTCTGCTCTAGTGAAGCTGGGAAATACTGCAGTCATTTGTGGAATTAAAGCGGTAAGTTTAATATATAAGATTATCAGACTATCTTCATACTAGAGGCCCTCTGGCAATCTGGTACACTTAATGCACCAGTGACCATACTTTTCATATAGGTGAAAGGCATCTTGCTACTGTATGGGCAGCTACATTTTTTTGCCGATTATAAAAATAGTACATAACATGATCCTTCTGAGCCAGTACCATTTCCCCCATATTATGGGTAGAAAACTGAAGTAGAGAAAAGTTAAGTAATTGGCTTTGTCACAAAGTTGTGTCAGAATCAGGGCTGACCACAAAATGTGCAAGCCAGAGTCCATGTATGTCATCGCTGCATCATCCTGTTTCTTTGAGTAGCCTTGCCATTTTTAATTTTTAAATCTAAGAGACTGTTACCAATATATAGGGAAGGGTCCCTAGGCCTGGCCAGCGACCAGGACCAATTTGTGGGGTGACTGCGGGGCAGGGTGATTGGGAGGGCCCTCAGTGGCACCCACCTTGGCTAGCGGCCTGGCACCACTGCTGGCTGGCCCTGCCCCCACTACCCCACCTATCGCCACTGCTGGTTGTCTTCTCTCAGAGGGATGACTTTCAATGCAGGAGCTGTCCCCATTCAGTTAATGTACATCATAGCAACTGGTTGTTCTTTCATTTGGTCGATTTGCATGTTAGGGTTTTATTATATAGGATACTGATTAAATTGTAATATATAGTAGTAATTCTGTTGACTAGGCAGGTTGTCACATTTAGTATTTTTCATTTACAAAGAGCTTTCATCTTTGAGTATTAGATAACACGACTCAGATTTAATGACTTGGTTATAATTTACGGGTATTCTTCAAATGTTTTGAATCAAATAATTTTCAAAATTTGACCACCTTTAAATTTTTAAGAATTTGGGTATAATTTGAGATTTTTGGTGACATCCTTTTATCCATTGGTGGTATTTAATCCATGCAAATGTGTAGAAGATTGAGATTGTTCAAAAGAAAATCTTGAGGGAATAATAGCTGTGTACCTGTTATGTTCCAGACACCTTATGGTAGATACTCTATAAAATTAATCAAGTTTAATCCAACAGTTTTTGAGGTATAATTTCTGTCTCCTATTTTTACATGAAGTTCAGTAACTTGTTAGGAACATAAGGCTCATAAATAGAACTGACTACACTGCACTCTTACTTTACATAAGCTCAGATACTTCCTCGGGAAAACTGGGGTGATATTTAACAATAAGATTTTAACACTAACTGCTAAGTTTTATATTATGGACTTAATGGCATCATCTCATTTAACCCTAAAAGTAGCTCTCATTAACTTCCCATTTTGCAGATGAGGAAATTGAATGGTAAGAGGTTAAGTAACTTACCCAAAGTCTCTCAGCCAAAAAGTGTGGGGCTGACATGAAATGTGATTCCGAAGCTTTTGCTTAGTTCCTTTATCTGTTACCATCATTTCCTAAATCTGGCTGTGCCATAATTACATCGGGGTTTAAGCTAAAGATTCATGGCTACTGAATTAGTGCAAGTGAGGATGGAGAAATCCAATTAATACTTTTTAATTTTGATGAGTACCACTATAGTGTAACTATGCTGTACTGCCTCATTACTGCAGAGCTAAAGTGAGTGTTCGTGCCATTAAAGTCCCTGACACAACTCCTTAAGCATACCGGTAGTAGTTAGCTAGCTAGTTAATATGGTCTTTGGTAGAGCCTTCATGATGTGGTACCCTGTTTCCCCAAAAATAAGACAGTGTCTTATATTAATTTTTTCTCCCAAAGTTGCGCTAGGTCTTATTTTCAGGGGATGTCTTATCTTTCCATGCACTAGGTCTTATTTTCGGAGGATGTCTTATTTTCAGGGAAACATGGTAGTTAGCTAGTTAATATGGTCTTTGATAGAGCCTTCCATAACTAAGGCTTTCTTAACAATTATTAAGTAGCTTCTTTGATTGGAAACATTTGTTTGCTTCTATAGGAATTTGCAGCACCACCACCAGAAGCTCCTGATAAAGGATATGTTGGTAAGTTATAATTTTGTAATTTTAATAACATTTAATACAAATATTATAGTTAAGTCCTAGTAGTTGAGAAAGTTATTCATAATCAGAATTATACAGGAATGACCAAAACCGATTTGGCTCAGTGGATAGAGTGTCAGCCTGTGGACTGAAGAGTCCCGGGTTCAATTCCGGTCAAGGGCATGTACCTTGGTTGCGCGCACATCCCCAGTAGGAGGTGTGCAAGAGGCAGCTGGTCGATGACTCATTGATGTTTCTAACTCTCTCCCTTCCTCTCTGTAAAAAATCAATAAAATATAAATACATAAAAGAAATATATAGGAATGAAGCAGACATTCATGAAGTTTTCTATTGAAAGATAGCATAAGAGAATTTTGTAATTTTTCAAACTCATTCAGTTTTTGTTTATACATTCAGATGTCATTAACCAAGAAAATATCTTTTAGGAAAAGGCTGTAATTGGAGACTTTGTGATTTATTTTTTAATCCTTACCCAAGGATATGTTTTTATTGAGAAACATAAATGTGAGAAACATCAATTGGTTGCCTCCAGCATGCTCCACCCGGGTATCAAATTTGAAAGCAAGGTATGTGCCCTGACTGGGGAATTAAACCTGCAACCTTTTGGTGAATGGGCCAAGGCCCACTATGCCATCATTTTTCTTGACTTGGGCCATTTGTTCTTTATGGTAGGAACCAATATTTTTAAAAGGCAGAGCAGTTGGATATTACTAGAGGGGTTACGTTCTGTGACAGATTAAGGTATTTGGAAAGGAAGAAAACTTGTGAAGGATCTAAACCTTAAATGCTTTTTAAAAAAATATGTATTTGTGTGATAAAGTTAGAAATGCAGATATTTTATCCAAGCTTAATAGTCTTAAAAAGACTAAGAATACAATTGATGTCTTATAAGTCTTTCCACTTGGAAAAAGCTTTCCAAGGCAACAGTCCCAGTGAAGTGTATTTCATAGTTGTAGAGTGTTTCTTTCAGTTCCTAATGTGGATCTACCACCTCTGTGTTCGTCGAGATTTCGGTCTGGACCTCCTGGAGAAGAGGCCCAAATAGCTAGCCAGTTCATTGCAGATGTCATTGAAAAGTAAGATAATCGGGGATAAAGTATTACTGTCATTCATTTTCAGATAATTTTGACCTTTCCTTTACTGTTTTGTCATTCAGTTCACAGATAATTCCGAAAGAAGACTTATGCATTTCTCCAGGGAAGGTAAGAATAATAAGAGAAGCTATAAGCTTTATTGTGTTTTGTGAAGAGTAGATGGGGAAATTTAAAAAAACACACAATAGCCTTCAATACAGATGTCTTATTTTTAGATGAAGTTAAGTAAAAACATGTCTTATTTTGTAACTATGTAGTTCATAAAAAAAAGACAAGCAATTTTGACTAATTTATTGCCCGAGTTGGAGCTACATTAAGCTGAGGTAATCCTCTTCCCCTTTTGAACATTCTTTTTTTTTTTTTTTTTCTTTATAGCAGATTACTGGTATGTGATTAGCTGATGTGTTTAAGGTGAATCCACACTATAAATTCTAATAATTTGAAAACTTAGAACTAAGTTGACTAGAACCTATCGGATTTTTCTATTTGATTACATATTTACTTGTAAAACCTACTAAGCATTTTTTTTAAAGGGAAACTTTAAGAGAAAGTGAGGAGAGATAGAAGTATCAATGATGAGAATCATTGATCAGCTGCCTCCTGCATTCCCCCTACTGGAGTTTGAGACTGCAATCCCAGCATGTGCCATGACCAGAATCAAACTGTCACCTCCTGGTTTGTGGCTTAACCACTGAGGAACAACAGCCAGGCCTTACCAAGCATTTGATATATTAAGCTTTCTTTCTTTCTTTTTTTTTTTTTTTAATATATTTTATTGATTTTACACAGAGAGGAATTGAGAGGGACAGAGAGTTAGAAACGTCGATGAGAGAGAATCATCAACCAGCTGCCTCCTGCATGCACACCCCCCTGGGGATGTGCCCGCAACCAAGGTACATGCCCTTGACCGGAATCGAACCTGGGACATTTCAGTCCGCAGGCTGACGCTATATCCATTGAGCCAACCCAGTCCCGGCATATTAAGCTTTCTTTGGGAAAGTATATTTTGATTTTCATTTGTGACTTTCAAAATTATTTCCCTCATCTGACTTAGCAATAGAATGGACATGTTTGTCACTTGTCAGCTTGGTAGTCAAAAGCCAGCTTTTAACCAAACATATCCACTTTTTTTTGTTTATTTCTTAAAGGTAAAGGTTTTTCTTTTTTTGTAAGTTTTTGAAGGTTTCTTGTTTGTTTAAGGGTTCTGTGGTGTATAAGTTGAAACAAATCCCATGTTCTACCTATCAGAAGGCTTTAATTTGCTTTGTGTAAACTCTATTTTAGCTTGCTTGGGTTCTATACTGTGATCTCATTTGCCTTGACTATGATGGAAATATTTTGGATGCCTGTACATTTGCTTTGTTGGCAGCTTTAAAAAATGGTAAGCAATCTTAATAAAAGGCAATAATCCTCCTTTTGTGTCAGAATATTCTGTTTTGTTAAACTGCTTTTGTTATGGTTGAACCATCATTCATTTTAGTCTTTAATAAAAAATGTTTATATACACCAGTGTTTCCCAAACTTTTGACATGTGTACCCCTTCTATAATTTTCGTAATGCTGAGTACCCCTCATTAAAAAAAAAAAGGATGTATTAGGCACAGCTAAGCACGGTGCAGTGCATATCCTCACCAAACTCCGGTGCAACGTGTACCCCCACCAAACTCTTCCCGTACCTCTGGGGATATGCGTACCATGCTTTGGGAAACAATTATACACTATATTTATCTTAATGTTCTAAGAGGGTTTTTTTCCCCCCCTAAAAGATTATTTCTGGAAAAGTTAAACAGGCAAAAGTGAATTTAGAAAATGCCATATTTGTTACTTATATTAGAGATCTTACTAACATATTTGTCTTTCTAGTACAATTGCCTGAAGTTACTATAAATGAAGAAACTGCTTTAGCAGAAGTTAATTTAAAGAAGAAACATTATTTGAACATTAGAACTCATCCAGTTGCTACCTCCTTTGCGGTCTTTGATGAGTAAGTTAAATGTGTAAAAAATTGTATTTTAAATATTCTTCTAAAATAAAATGTTTCATGGATTGATAATTTACACTTCAAAAAAAAATTTTTTTTAATAGCACTCTGCTCATAGTGGATCCTACTGGAGAGGAGGAACATCTGGCAACTGGAACCCTAACAGTAGTAATGGATGAGGAAGGCAAGCTATGTTGTCTTCACAAACCAGGCATGTTCCCTTTACTTCAGTCCTAAATGTTTAGATAAAAACTCTATGTGAACTTATTTTCATAGGAGTAGGGCAAATGGAGTATGGGATATTTACTGTTTACCTAATGCAGCAAATTTAGAATGACAGTTTGTTACCTCAAATTCCTAATGTTTTTATGTTGTTTACCAGTGGTTCTTGTGGCCTACATTGGAATCACTTGGAGGTCTTAATACATAACTTGGGCCGAAACCGGTTTGGCTCAGTGGATAGAGCCTCGGCCTGTGGACCGAAAGATCCCAGGTTCGATTCCGGTCAAAGGCATGTACCTTGGTTGCGGGCACATCTCTAGTGGGGAGTGTGCAAGAGGCAGCTAATCGACTATTCTCTCTCATCGATGTTTCTAACTCTCTATTCTTTTCTCTTCCTCTCTGTAAAAAATCAATAAAATATATATTAAAACAAAAAACAAAAGAACATAATTTGGCAATTTTAACCATATCCCCTGGTTTACAGCTTTGGTCTATAACTTGACATGATGTTGATCATTAAAAGTACAATAGCATATATTAAAAGTGTTGGTACAATAATTTTTCAGGTGGCAGTGGGCTGACTGGAGCTAAACTTCAGGACTGTCTGAGCCGAGCAGTTACAAGACACAAAGAAGTAAAAAAACTGATGGATGAAGTAATTAAGAGTATGAAAGCCAAATAACTATATTTTTTAAACTTATTTGTAAAAACTCTATTTATTACACTGTGCACAAATCTTTCATAATAAATATCAAACTACATTTATCTGAAGGACATTTCTAGTATTTCTTAGGCCACTTCTACATATTCTATGTACAGTGGAACAGTTTTGAAAAAGCAAGGGACTTGAGCAAACGAACCCTAAACATTTATTAAAGCATTTCTGTTTTTATTTAAAAATCATAGGGTTGTGCTTCTGTATAAAGTTTGTACATCAAATAATGTAAAATACTATGTTTTAAAAAACAAAAATGAAGTAGAAGCTCAATCTTTTTGATTGATTGTTCTTATGTTTTCAAAAAAGAAAATATGGCAAGACTCAGAATTTTGGAGTGGTTGGTGTACTTCTCTTCATTTTACTTTTTGGTTGGCTGCCTGTATGCTGTTGAGGATGTAGCTGAGCTGTTTGTACTGTTGCTGCTGCCATGGCCATTTGATGCTGTAAGAATCGCAACTGCTGTAAAAAGGGGGAGGGAAAAAAATCAAATATAAGCAGGTATAAAAAGATGCTTTTCCTGAGAGTGATAAGAACAAAAATGAAAGGGAGAGAGCACTAAGATAACAAAAGGGGACTATACCACATTCAGACAATGTACAATCAAACAGCACCAGTGGCACAGAAGCCTGCTGAGGGCTTTTAAAATGGTTCTTGGTACACTTCAAAAATACATGTTACTTTGCCCTGCCAGTCTATATTGTAGTAACTCAGCAACTTCAGTTACCATTTTGTTGTATAATAGTTTATACCAATATAAACGACCCTGCATAAAGATAGTCAACCATAATATGCTGACTTCTGAGATAATGGAATGGCATTTTTCTAAAACAGTTATGACATTTACTAGTAGGAACATTGGCGTTCTTGTCTTTTTCTGCAGTGCAAATTAACCATTGGCATTGACAACCGTCTATTTCAAAATATAATGCAAACTACAAAAATGGATGTATAGTGCCACCAGCACTTCATGAAAGATTTTAAGTCAAGAAAAGTATGGCTTATATGTACAAAATATCTTCAGTGCTCCAAGCTGGCTAAAATGTCAGACTTAATAAAATTTGCTAAAATCTCTATTACTTTATAGTCTTAAAAGATAATAAAATAAAACTAAAGTTTTTTTAGGTACTTTTGGAGCAGAGTATCTAAAATGTAATCAGAGTGAAGTTGCTGGATTACTTGTATCTGTTGCTGCTGCTGTTGAAAGGCAGAGGAGAGCTGGAATCTTTGCTGAGGAAGGCTTTGCTCAGGTCTGTTCTCGGCAGAGCCAAGCTGAGACAACACTACAGAGAGGAGAAGGGGAAAGCAGGCCAGTCAAAAGTTTGAAGGCTACCAGGGTTAGAAAAGGACAACACAGAAAATGAAATAGAAAAGTTATCAGTATGATTAATCTTCAGTATCAAATCACAGACATTTCAGAATAAATTTAGTCTCCTGTTAGTTGAAGGCACTTCCTGGACATAGAAGGGGAAGGAAGTGCACATGTATTAAACACTATATATCTTCATGCATCTCACTGAAATTTGATAAAAGTGCTATGCTATTTAGAAAGCTTTCTGGCAAAATGTAAAATACAGGATGTTATTTTAAAATATAACTAATAAAGTAGGAAAGGGGGTAGGAGAAATCCAAGCTATCATAATAACATATCTGGTAAGCAAGTGCTTTTAAACAAAAGATACTGCAATGAGTATCAGACTATACTAGTAGCAACAGAAATGGTGACCTGAGCCTGTGCATTATTCCTTTTTGAGCTGAGAGGGACCACAATAATCGTCTAACCCTCTCACTGTCAAAGGAAGAAATTTCAGGCGTAGATGGTTTGACTCAAAGGCAATTAGTGGCAGGTCTGGAGCATGGACCATTTTTACAGTTTTTCAGTCTAGAATTCTTTCCACTAAATTATAGTAGTACTTAAGAAGATAATATCATGGGGTAAAGGATTATAAAAACTAAGTTTCCATTAGAAAATTCTCTAGCTCTAAATCTCTACTTGTAAGACCTTATTCTAAATTCAGACACTGGGAGTTACTTGTATATGATTATAAAGGCACCAATGATAATTCAAAATGTTGACATGACCTTACCCATTCAATCCTCAAACTCTGTAATTATTATTTTCAATTTACAAGATAATCTTCATTAAAGATTATGGTTCGCCATAACTGGTTCATTTACTGTTGGAAGTGGTAAGCAGTCATTTAATCTCATTTTTTTACAAATAAAAAAGTGGCTTATAGAAGTTATGTTACTGATATTACATCTTAATTCAAGATATCAGAATGAGAACAAATATAACTGTCAATGGGAAAAAACTGGGGGCTATCAATAACTTGATGTAATAGTTCACAAGTAAATATATCTATCTACTTAATGCTTGCAAGAGAAGGAAAAATAATCTTAAAAGGTGAGATCCCAATTAAATTAAATAATAAACTCAACATAAGAAATCATGAAGATACCAACCAGCTGCCTGTGACTGCATAAAACTTCCTACTCCAGCAAGATTAATAACAGCAGCATGCTGAGCAGATAAAGCCTTTTCTTGACTGTTTGAGCCTTGTTCAGAACCCTAAATAAAAATCATACATGAGTTGTATAAAAAGAAAAACAATTTGTGTTGGTAAAAAATTAGTATTTTCCTTACAGGACAACAAATAACAATTTTAGACTATTATAAAAACAGTAACAAGGAAAAGACTTCAGAAGAATTAGCAAGAACAAAACCTAATTAAAGGGTAATATGCAAATTGCCCGACACTACAACACATAAAATGGCCAGCAAGGGAGGGCAGTTGGGAGTGACCAGGTCTGTAGGAAATAAAGTTGGGGGAACCCAGGCCTGTGGGGAGGGGGGACCAGGCCAGCAAGAGGGGCAGTTGGGTGGGACAAAGCCTGCAGGAAAGAGCAGTTGGGGGTGATCAGGCTTGCAGGAGAGGGCAGTTGGGGGTGACCAGGCCAGCAGGGGAGAGCAGTCGGAGATGACTACACATGCAGAGGAGGATAGTTAGGGTAACCAGACCAGTAGGAGAGAGCTATAGGAGGCAATCTAGCAGAGAAGCAGTTAAGCGTTGATCAGGCTGGTAGGGGAGTGGTTAGGGGGTGATCAGGCTGGCAGGCAGACAGGAAAGCGCTTGGAAACCAGCAGTCCTAGATTGTGAGAGGAATGCCAATTGCTCTGTAGGTCTGATCCCACTGATAGTACATGGACAGTCAGGCATCTCTCGAGGGGTCCCAGATTGGAGACAGTGCAGGCTGGGCTGAGGGACATACACAACCCCGTGCATGAATTTTATGCACCAGGCCTCTAGTCCTATATAATTAAAGCCTAATGTGGTGTCTGGTCATTCAGTCATCTGTTCAACCAATCAAAACATAATATGCTAATGATATCCTAAGGCTGCTCAACGGCTCACTATGATGTGCACTGACCACCAGGGAGCAGATGCTCAACATAGGAGCTGCCCCTTGGTGGTCACTGTGCTCCCACAGCCAACCTCCCATAGCTCCTTCCCCTGGCCAACCACCCCCATCAGCCCTGATTTGGGGGGAAGAGGGGCACGCGTGCAGGTGGGGAGAGACTGGCCAGCCAACATCCCCCAACCCCTCCCCCCTCCAACTGGCCCAATCTCTGGCCAGGCTAAGGGACCCCACCTGTGCATAAATTTGTGCACTGGGCCTCTACTACAAAATACTTACAATTCTATAATACAAAACATGAAAAGATAGAAAAGCACATACCTGCTCCCCTGGCTGTTGAGGACTGGAAGTTGTAGGTTGCTGAAGTTGTTGGGGTGTAAATTGAGAGAGCTGCTGCTGCTGCTGCTGCTGCTGCTGCTGCTGCAGAGTGTTGAAAATTAGTGAACCACCTGGAAGCTATTAAGAATTTAAACATGAACTCATTAATTAATTTCACATTGTTTAAATTTCTTTATTCCACAAGTATTTTTGGAACATTCACTATGTGTCAAGTACTCTTTTAGGGATCGAGGAAACAGAGGTAAACAAAAATAAAAGCAAAACAAGATCTCTGCCCTTAAAAAGAAAGATTTGAAAACAATTTTTAAGTGTTATTACTAAGGAATCTCAAATATGTTAATTCTATCAAATATAAATCATTCTGCTTCAAGTTAATGACATATACAAATATACACATTGAGTTCAACTTTTTTATACCTCAATACAAAACAGCATTCAGCATTCAGTACACTAGAAAGTAAGCAACAAGCTATTGAAAATGAGAGATATACTTATGAAAATTCATCTCTCAAAATTTGTCTAGCTTTGCCAAATCCCATGACTTCATGGATGCTTATATAATATAGTAAGGAATTCCAAAGCTGAAAAGTGCATTAGATGTCCATATTTAGTTTGGAGATATTTCCAGCTTTGTCATTCAGAATCTAAATTAAGTTAAATTAATAAAAAGGTTTTAAGAAGAATTCAGAAAAATTCATGTTAAAAATTAAAACTAGTAATTCCAAATGAATCAGGAAACAAAGGGTTTTTCTTTTTTAATCTATACGAGTTTAAATTATAAGCCTTTGAAGTCCTTAAGAAAAAGTCCAAATATCAAATATAGAATTCTGAGATCTATGAAGTTAAAAATCTCTATATCCAGCACAGCTTGTTGTTAAGTAAATTTGGGCATAGCACAAGTCAAATGTTCTTTCCTCAAACAGTTTGATAGTAAATTTAGCAAAATTCATTTTTATGGTGGCTTTGTCGTTATTCTTTATTATCAGTTCTATTAAGGAATTCCATTCCTATATTCACCAAGACTAATCCCTGACAGAAGTTCCAACAGCAATGTGTAGGAAAGTTGAATAAACCAATGTGATTTGTGATTTATCCATATTACAAAGTAGATTGTTCTGTAATTACAGTCTGAATATAGTAATATTGTGTTTGCATCTTGGATAAGAAGTTTTGTATTTTGGCTCTAAACACATTTCCTGATTTACTTATGAACTAGAGGCCTGGTGCACGAAATCTGTGCACAGGTAGGGTCCCTAGGCCTGGCCAGTGATCAGGGCCTATCTGTGGGGCGACCAGTAAGATGATGTGGAGGCGGGGACCACTCACCTTGGCTGGTCTGGGGCCTGCAGGCTGGGGGGAAGCTCCTGCATTGAGCATCTGCCCCCAGGTGGTCAGTGTGCGTCATGGTGACTGGTCATTCTGCTGTTCAGTCAATTTGCATATTAGGCTTTTATTATATAGGATACCAGATTGGTTTGATCTGTTTTTTACTGTTCTTTCCCAATTTTGTGTCTCTAAGTCTTTATATTACCTATCTTTTCTAAATTCTCTGTAGATAATCTTATCAACTACCAACCTAACTTAATCCTGGAGTCCAAAGCTTACAAAGGACCTAGAGCCTAACACTGTAAATATTTTAAGTTCACTCTGGATGTGTAGGAAATCTCCACATTTGATCTCTTTATATGCTGTCTATGTTGGCATTTATTTCATTTATAAGAAAAGCCTCATCATTAGACACAAAATGTAATCTAATGAATATTTACCAAATGACTCTTAGGTGCCTGGCACTGTGCTAAGACATTCTCCTCAGGATAAGAACAAAGCTATTTTTAAATCCTCTATTCAAGTACAAAATCTTCTGTAAGCAAAAAGTACTACATATATGTAGACACAAATGGTTATTAAGAGAGGAATTATTTTTTAAGTGTAGGTATTACTGCTAATGTAGGCAACTACTCACTTTGTACTTGTCAATTCTCCATATCAAAACATCCAGTTCTTGATTTGACAGAGGTCAGTGAAAGTGCAGTATGAAAGACACCCATTCTTTCTTCTTACCCTCTCAACCATGCAAAGGTAGCAATTATAACCACATCCTCACAAGATTCTGAACTATCTCAAAATTTCAAATGCTGACATATATAAGTATACATTGTAAGAAAAATATCAAAGTATGAAAACTTTAATCAAGAGCAGTGATTCAGATTTACCTGAAGTAGATTCAAGGGCCTGAGACTTGAAGTAGTTTTTAAACCAAATGGAACACCTATTAAATACAATTCCTGGTTATAACAGGGAATTAAATCTTTTAAACATGAAAACACTTTTTACTTTAGCATAAATAAATATGACATTTTAAGTACTTTCTGCCTAGATCTGTTTTATTTTCTATACTTTCAAAATGATCTTAAAAACAACACCCATCAATACTGAGATAAAAGATGTGAGCATTACATGTACATTTTATTCTATATTTGAGAAACTGAGACTTCTTTATCACTATTTTGACTGTTAGCTGGAAAAAGTAATCTAGACATATGCAGAGGCCATAAATATAACTGAACTATCACAGTTATGCAAACACATTTTCAGGTGATGGCTTCTATTGACATTCCTAGGTGCTATATACTATATAATATACGATAATCACAACAACTATATCTCTGAGAACCAGTGTGCTCCATGCAATTATTTTAAAGTCCGAATGCTAATATGAATAACAAAGTACAATGAATTTTGTTTGTAGGGTCAAACTAATAGGAAATAATACTGTTAATTTTGTGACAACATAGAACACATCATAAATCAGGAGTTGGCAAACTTTTTCAATAGGCCAAACTGAAAATGTTCTGTTAGATATTCTTCCTCTTCATTTTTCTTTACATTTTAAACACATCTTTAAAAATGTAAAATCTAGTTTAGACTGTAAGATTTTTATTTGCTGACACTAGTCTCAAAATGCATGTATATTTTTCTCACTAACAATATATACCAATTTGAACTCTAATTAAAAATGTATCTAGTCTACTAAGCAAATTTTTTTTAAAAAAAGGTAAGAGACAGGCCCTGGAAAGGCAGCTCAGTTGGCTGAAACATTGCAGGTTTGATTTCTGGTCTGGGTGTAGGCAACTGACGGATGTTTCTCTTTCACACAGATGTTCCTCTCTCTTTCCATTCCTCTCTAAAATCAACAAAAATAGTCTCAGTTAAATAAGTAAATAAATAGATAAATAAGTAAATAATAAAAAGGTAAGAGGCAGGAAATTTTTGTATAAAGAAATTAAAAAAAAAAAAGCATAATCAGATGAAAATATGATACTGATTTTACTTTCAGGAATTTTCATGTAAAGAATTGTCAAAATTCCCTTTAAAGGTAAATGACATCTATATAATTCTATTGCTTATTAAAGGCACTTCATTTATTAATCTGAAATACCTATTATAGTTAGATAAATTTACTCATACTTTACATCAAATGAAATGGAATCTAAAGAAGAAAAATGGACTTCCTTAAGGACCCACAGTTAGCATTGGAAGCCATGTGTAACTGGTAGAGTTACATGTAAATATGAACATTCTAAATTCAACATCTGATTCCATTTCCAATGCTTCCACCACTACAGCACATTTATGCACATTAAAATAAGAACATCAGCCAAAATTAGGAAATTACAGAAATATGTTAACTTGCTTATATGATACTAGAGTCACAGGGCACGAAATTTGAGCATGGGAATGTGTGTCTCTCAGCCCAGCCTGCACCCTCTATAATCCAGGACTGCTGGTTTCCAATTGCTCACCTGCCTGCCTTTTTGATTATCCCTAACCCCTTCTACCTGCCAGCCTGATCACCCCTAACTACTGCCCTGCCAGCCTGATTGAGGCCTAACTGCTCATCTGCAGGCCTGGTCCTCCCCAACTATCCTCCTCTGATGACCTGGTAACCCCTAACTGCCTGCCCCTGCGGACCTGGTCACCCCTAACTGCCCTCCCCTGCAGGCCCAGTCGACCCCAACTTTCTTCCTCTGCCGGCCTGATCAACCCTAACTGTCCTCCCCTGCTGGACATATTGTGGCAGCCATCTTGTGTCCACATGGGGGCAGACATCTTGTGTGTTGAAGTGACTGTCAATTTGTATATTACTCTTTTATTAGATAGGATTCTTTGGGCTCTCTTAAGTCAGTGATTTTTCAATCGGTGTGCTGCAAGAATATTTAAGACATTCAATAGTTACGGACCTCTTTTCGCTTAGATTGTTAAATAAAAGAAATGACAACAGCCTACACAACGATAGCCATTTTGTGTGAATGCTCTGTCTTGAATAATATCCAGAAAGGATATATTATAGAGTTGCATTGTAAGGTAGCATCTGGTTGGTCAATTCTTGGTACCAGAAATCCTTATATACGAATATAGGCACCTGATTTTTATTTTTTTATTCCTCACTGAACAATATGTTTTTATTGACTTTTTAGAGAGAGAGCAAAACATAAATTGGTTGCCTCCTATGCTTCCTAACTGGGGTGTGCCCTGACCAGGAATCAAACCCTCAACTTTTTGATGTATGGGATGACGCAGCTAAACAACCCAGCCAGGGCTAGATATCTGATTTTTTTAAAAGTTACTTTGTAGCAAAAAAGGTAGGTAATTACTATTATTATTTCTTTTTGTAAATAAATCAAAATTATACCTATTTTTTTTCAGATCGGCAAAAATTATTTTTTGGTGTGCCTGCCACAGAATTTCAGTTATTAGTTTATGTGTGCCATGAGGTGATAAAGGTTGAAAATCATCATCTTAAGTCATATAAAGTTTTTGATTAATTTTCTTACTATGTCAAGTTTGTTTTCCTATTAAATTTTTTTTTTCAGCAGTAGAAAACTGGATTGTAACAAGATATTACATTACATTCTCTTAAGGAACATTAAATAGTACAAGCTGTTATAGCTATTTTATAGTATATGTAGTAACAAGTTACTACAACAATAAAACTACTACTATTGATGGCAGCACATATTTGTTTTTAGGTCTAAGGTATAATTTAAGCAGTTCATCTGTATATACTCATTTAATGCTCACAATTAAGAGGTATTAAGGTATTATTATTATCCACATTTTATTTATGAAAAAGTGAGGCACAAAGGTAACTTTCCCATGATTACCCAAAAAGTTAAGTTACAGAACTGGGATTCAAACTCAGGCAGTCTGCCTCCAGAATGGGGGCTTTTAATTGCCACACTATGTCGCCTTTTTTGCACAATATATATTTTCAAGATACATTCCTTTTATTTGGAGTAAGACTACACTGATAACAATAAGACTATCAATGTTAACTTTATTATAATGTGTAGAAGGCAAAGATATAATTTGCAGATTTATGGGGCTTATCAAGTTTCTTTCCAGAAGCTGATTGCTAGATGACTTTTAATTTAAATACCAGAACTTTAAAGGCTTTCAATGTAAGCCTTTCCTTTAAAAAGAGCCTTTTTAACATGAGGCATGTTAAATATTTTTAATAACAGCATAAAAATGTCATTTTTACATTAGTATGTATTTTAATTTTTTAAAGAGGTTATTATATCCAATATATTCTGACCTGCTTGAGAAGCTGCCTGCATTGTACCAGGTAATGCATTTGGTAGCAGACCTCCTGAGGGGAGAAGGCTTATTCCTGCAGGAGTTATGGCACCAGTGTTACAGCCCAGCATAGGGTTTGAACCATTCATCAAAGCCTGAGCTCCACTAAAGGAGAATAGACAAAGCATTAAACTTATAATATAAAAGAAAAAAAATCAGAGCCTTAATTCCTTAGATTAAAAAAAGAAAAAAACAACATCTCTATTAAACCAGTTAGATAATTCTATATTAAATATCAATTTCAAGGCTGTTTCCTTTTTATGCTAGAAAGCATAAAAAGGAAAGGTTGGCTAAAATTAAGTACATATACTGCATATTTATAAAGGTTATAATATAATTTCAAATAGTAAAGCACTGATCGAAGGATTAAAAGATAGTAACAGAAGACAAACAGAAAAATCTAAGCTACTGTCAATATGTAATAGTATTGTCTCAGTGTATATAAGTAGATGTATTATTCAAAATTAAAACATACTTGGTTGAGATAGCTTTTATCCATATTTAAAGTATTTCCTTTCATTTTCAGTAAGATGACATTTATTCTTAATTTCACAAATGAGAATTCATTCAGATTGGTGAGAATATCTTTTGAAAAAATCAGGGCATCAATGAAGACTTACCAAACAGAGCCCACTACTTTGATGAAGTTAAGTCCAGCAGAGTTTGCCATGACCTGGGTAGCTGTGGTTCCTGGAGTTATAGATGTTACCATAGTGGAAAGAGGAATGGTCGTTACAGGCATTGCCTGGCTCAGAGACCTTTGCTGCTGAGCAAACTGAGTTAACAAAATGGGCTGAGGGGTGAAGCCTGAATCTTGGGGAGTAGGGGTAGTTGAAGGGATATTAAGAGTTGAGCTCTGAACATCAGGAGGGTATGGGGTCGATGAAAGGGTTGGTGTAGGAGTAGATGGCTTAGGAGTTCCAGATCCTGCTCATTGAGAAAAATAAAAATTGCTAGTTTGTTAAAAATGGCCAGTCTTTTTAAAAATAAGGTTAATGGAATTTCACTTAGCACTGACAATTTGTTCCAGTTGTTTTTTTTTTAAAGCAGTTAACTGCAAGTGTTAATTTCTACACATGATACATGAGTGTTGCTACACTCAATTACAATTAAGGATGCAGTATATCACCTAAAAATCCCATCAGATGTTATTATAGTAACATTAAAAACACACATTTGTATTCTACCACAGTACTCATTTAAGTTATTTTCCTATATGTTACCTTTAGCCTAAAAAGTTTAAAATGAACTCAAATTAATTTTTTGTTATTTACAATTTCACTAATTTAGGACTTCATTTAAAAATGTTGCTTATTTTCTATAATAGTCTGAGATAATGCTGAACATATTTAATAAATTACATATGGTTAATAGTCATATGTGGCACATAAATAAACATGTTTAAGTTCTAACACATCAAGTTTATCCTAACAAGCAAATTTACAAAACATAGTAATAAAGCAAATATTTGATAGGTAATACTGCATCATTAACAGTAACTTTGTACTTCTATTTAATTGTAGAATGTATAGAAAATCTGTTGTGAATGAAGTATACACAGTTTATCAACTTTTTAAGAAAAAACAAAACAAAAAACAAAAACAAAAAAAGTAAAACCAAAAGCTCTTGAGGTGTTTTCTTTTTTAGCTTTCATGTCCTGCAGAAAGAAAGGAAAGAAATGTGAATGTCCAGAAGCTGTCACTCAACCCTTACTTAAAGTAACAACTGTGTGCAGATTAGCATAATTCATACCCACAACATAAGAAGTGTGAATAAGACTTTCAGGAAATTGATATATTTTTCTTTGTGCAAAACAAGAAGGCAGAAAAATTACACCTTTTGAGCTATCAAGATCAAGATGTTTATATCTAATGAGAAGACGACCACCCTATTACTGTGCAGTGTACTAAAACTTTCAGCATACTTTAATTACCTATAAAAAAAAAAATCTAAAAAACTGGAATGCTTTCTTGCAAATTGGGATTGAAATATCTCAGATATTTATTAATTTGAAGAAATTCTCCCCAAAGAATTCTTACATAACTCTTCTTAATGATAAAAAAGTATTAAGTACTAAAAATTACAATTTAATATCCTCAGAATAATGCTTTGTAATCATCACGTTTTACTAACTGACAATTTATAAGAGTGTAGAATGTTTCAGAAAAATTGGCTTTTAGTTTATTGTATCACCACTTTGGAAATAGTTGGCTTCTTACATATACAAAGACAAGACTGCACCAAGAACTCTTATGACATTTCTTTTTTCATATAGCTGCAAAGTTTATGTAAAATGTAAAGTGACTCCAGGATAAAATAAAATAAAAAATATTCTGGAATTTTACTACCAGATTTTTAAAAAGGATATGTATAGGCTGTAAGTCTATAAGAAAGGTATACACAAGGTACATACATAAATACAGAAAAACAAATACAATTATATTAAACATATAATACATATAATCGAGATTTGCCTCAGGATTATCAAAACTTATACATTTGAGTACACAGTTTATCCAGATTTTACTGGTCAAAAAAAGCTATCTAAGAAACACTAATGCTAAAGTTTATGAAGTTACTATAAGAATTTAAACCAGGACTTACTTTGTGATGAACTGGCAGGTGACAGGGCAGCTGGAGAAAGCATGCTAGCTTGACTGAGATCCACAGATGACTTTCGAGAAAGACTTGGTGGCTTAGAAGCAGGAGGAGGAGTTGGAGATTTAAGAAAGCTGCTGGCCTGTTGTGGCGTAAAATAGTTACCTAGAATATAATATTGATTCCTATAATTCAAAATTTTGTGAAAATCAAAATATGAGTAAAATTTTAAAAACAAGTTATGACCATGATATTTTTTTACACTAGATTACAGAAAAGTAGGGAATGTAATACCTGTGGAACTATTTCCTGAGCTTGAGGGAAGTTTGATGGGTGGAGGTCGATGTTTTATCCCTTTCCCTAGTACTGAAGACTGAACTGACACGGTCTCAGGCTATAAAAAAAACAATGACATTAAGTATACTTGTTACAATTAAGGTCCAATCTATATCTCATAAATTAATACCACTATAATTCTCAAAAGAAAAAAATCATTTTATTTTTTAAAAATACTTTTGTTTATTTCAGAGAGGAAGGAAGAGGGAAAGAGATAAGAAACATCAATGATGAGCCGGCACCGGTTTGGCTCAGTGGTAGAGCGTCGGTCTGCGGACTGAAAGGTCCCGGGTTCGATTCCGGTCAAGGGCATGTACCTTGGTTGCGGGCACATCCCCAGTAGGGGGTGTGCAAGAGGCAGTTGGTCGATGATTCTCTCTCATCGACGTTTCTAGCTCTCTATCCCTCTCTCTTCCTCTCTGTGAAAAATCAATAAAAATATATTAAAAAAAAAAAAAAGAAAGAAACATCAATGATGAGAAAGAATCATGGATTGGCTGCCTCCTGCATGCCCCCTTTTTGGTATCAATCCTACAGCCCAGACATGTGCCCTTAAGTGGAATCAAGCCAGGAGTCTGCAGGCCAACACACTATCCACTGAGCTGGGCAGAAAAAAAAACCAAAACATTTAAAACTGCAAAGTACTCTCAATGGTTATAGACTGAATATTACAGATGTTACAGAAGAATAAATTTCAAATAAGGTCATCTTATACATAAACAATGAAGAAAAAATTTCTGAGTAAGCGGGTGGGGAGAAAGTTTGTGAGAAAGGGACAGAGGAGTAAGATGGAGACAAAGCTTAATCCTTAGATTATTTTTTCCAGAAAAGTAATATATGGAAGTCAGTTGATTCATTATACCTTTTGCACTATCTTTGTATATATTTAAAAATTTCCATTATAAAAAATTAAATTAAAAAAAAAATTAAAAGTACAATCAAAACAAAACAATACATCCCTCAAAAAATAACATATCTCAGATTACTTGAGAAACAATTAGGCACAAATAATAAACAATACACACAATATTTGGCATAAAAAATAAAAGAAACACACACTTCTGTTTCTTTCCCTGGAGAAAGCTGACTCAAGCTGGCTGAGCCACTGGAGCTATGCAACATCTTGACTGGACACTTGGCTTCATTCTGGACCAATTCCTGGTACTGATTAACTACCCTAAAATATTAGAAAATTTTTTTAAAAAGCAGGTAAGAATTACTTAACTCTTTTAAACATCAATTTATTATGTAGAAAATAAATACTACTATTAATTAAAAAGTTCTATCAACTTAACACAAAAATTAAAATTTGACAGTTTACCTTTCTGTTAAAAGTACTTTCTTAATCTTTTCAATAACAAGCTAATGCTCCAAATCTTTTGCACTTAAATTATCAATCTTAAAATATATTTTCAGTACCTTATTTCAAATACAGAAATTACATGGGTTATTTTTTAATCAATAAACAGTCAAAAAAAAATGCCACTTTCACTTAACATTCTGATTAAAGAGCTACTTAGAAAGTATCTTCCTTACCTACCATAGATATGTCTACATTTTTAAATTTAAACTAAAGCTGTATTTTAAACATTATTCTTTTAATTGTTACTTTCCTAATTCTATTTTTTAAACCTTAGTAAAACCTATGGTATAACTAAAATCAAACTTTTGATTCCTAATGAAATACTCTTTATCCTCTGAGAGGGAAGATTTTCATATCTATCCAGATCAAAAATAAAGATGCTAGTATTTTTACCTTTCAGCATCAGTCTTTGATCCTATAATGAACCTAAAATATTTAAAAAGAAAGAAAAGTATAAGAATTCTCTTAGGGAGTTCTGGAATTACTTTTGAAGGCTTCCATTTTAATTTAACAAATTATTGACAGTAATTTGACAAATTAAAATCTACCAAGATATGAACAAAATTTAAAATACATTTAAAATTGGGAATAATAAAGTTTGGCATGCAATAAAATAATATTGTGAATAATTTGGCTGTTTTAATTTAAGGGAAATTTATTTTGCCACAAAACTTAAGTATCAAAACAAAATCTGGGTTGAAAGTTACCAAGTGCTATACAACGTTGCAAGTGTCTGTTCTACAACAAAATTCTCTGAACTGTGTGCAAGGCCTTGTTTTCATTTTAACCTGTAGCAGCTCTTGAGCTATATTCCCAAATGATTATTGCAACCAATGGTTTTAGAAGTCATTAGTTTACATAGCAGGAACACAATATATTTTAGATAAGAAAGATAGTTGATTGGAAACTCAGAAAAAAATGTATTCACTAAGTCTTTAAAGAGCTTGACATTTACATGTTTTTTTTTAACAGATTTTAATAATGTTTATTTTTTTTAATTACCAATTTGAATGATCTTCTGTGAAGGAGCTGAAATATAAAATGTAAAAAAACAAACAAACAAAAACCTAGTTAATGCAGCTCAAACTTTAACTTCATCGTTTTTAAATCAAATAATTTATGAATATGGAGAATGACTGAAAGATAATAAACCATGCAGCATTTTTGCAGCAACTCCGTAATATAAAGGCCAAAAATTTTATTTTCTTCTTGTCAAATCTATTTGGGTAGCTTTCTTAACTAATTTTTAAAAATAAGAATATATGTTACTCCCTGTTTTTAAAAAAAAGTTCATAAAATGATTTAAAATGACCAATATATATCTTTAAGTGGAAGATTAATAAAAATAAAGGTAATAAAAATATCAGATCCGCCTAGATCGGTTTGGCTCAGTGGACAGAGTGTCGGCTTGGGGACCGGGTTCGATTCCGGTCAAGGGCATGTACCTTGGTTGCGGGCACATTGCCAGTGGGGGTGTACAGGAAGAGGCAGCTGATCAATGACTTTCTCTCATCGATTTTCTAACTCTCTATCTCTCTCCCTTCCTCTCTGTACAAAATCAATAAAATATATTAAAAATATATATATCAGATCCTTCTACTTAGTATACAACAATAGAAACTGCTAATGTTAAAAAAAAAAATTAGTGGAGGACTGATGACTGCTACTGTTTCCTCCCATCAACGTTTTTAGGTATTGGTGAAGTTATTCTTTAAAATCCATCTTTCTGTTGCAGTTTCAAATAGTATTTTGTGTACATAAAGACTTTATAAACAATTTAACAGAGATCTGATCCCTGCTTTTTTCTCCTCTTTGTAATTTCTTATTTTCAAAACATCATCAACTTGATTAAAATAGAACACTAATAAAAACAAAATTAAATACTGGTACCTTGTACTAAATATATGTAGTTCATAAATTTAGAAAGCCAAATCTAATAAGTGTATTTAAGTAACAAATAAATCCCCAAGGGGGAAATTTTATTCATTAATAGTTTACCAGTAGTTGCTAAATAAATTCTGAGGTTTTTGTCAGTTACATGTATTTAACAGAACTCACTTGGATGGAGACATATGGCTGTCAATCTCTTCATCTTCTTTACATGGCTGTATTTTACCGTAGTAAAGTGGATCACCAAGTGACTGAAAAATGGTCAGCTTTGTTTTCTGATTACCAGCTTCACATTCAAATACATAATCATCTTTGACATCCTGAAAAAGATAGAGCATCCCATTATGAACAAAAGGGGGCTACGGAGACATCCAGTAAAGACTGTGGTAAAGGTAAACTCGGTAACCCCCACCTCCTACAACCACATCAAATTTTACAACTAAAACATATAAAAATCATCATTCAGAACCACCTGAAATCTAGCTGAATGGAAGTCCTACAGCTGGGAATTAATGAAGAAGCACATCAAAACTGGCAGGAGGGGAGAAATTGTGGACCTGGCTGGTCCCACACCCACGTGTGGCAGTTTAACATCAGGAGGAATATGTTGGCCATGGAGGTTTTCCTGAGGAACACAGGATCACTGGCTCACATCAGGCCCTCCACCTAGGGTTCCAGAGCTGGAAAGAAAAGTCCTCATAACTTCTGGCTGTAAAAATGAGCAGGGGTTGTGGCTGAGTGACATGAAGGTGTGGGGAGTCCTTGGCAGTTCCTCTTAAAGGATCACTTTCAAATTTACTTGGACTTACTCCCTCTGAGTTCCAGTGCTAGAACATCTGGGGAGGAACTAATTTACCTGGAATCAGGAAAAACCTGGAGGGGTAGCTTTTTCTCCCAGACAGAAGTGCTACCAGAGGACAGTGTTTCTGTGCTGAGCTCTTCCTACCACAGAGCTGACAGGCTGGGCCATATCTGAATCTCCTTCAACATGGCTCACACTTCTCACCCACCCTGGTGATTTCCCTGAGACACCCTCCCTATTTGTAAACTCATCCAAGCTATTTCCGTTGGCTTTTCCCATACAACTGGCCTCTCCTGCCTCATACTTTGGATTTTCCTAAAATTTCTCAAACAAGTAGCAGCTGACATCAGCATTTAAGGCACTTCTCAGTAAGTGGCCCCAGGCCCTGAATTAGCTACAGCCTACCCTGGTTCACAGCTTGGCCTCTCCTGGGCACCTCCAAACTCAACATAAATAGCAATCATCTAAAGACCACTTTGTAGCTTATACTGGGTGGCCCCAGGTAGGGCACAGGCAGAGGCTGACTTTGTACCTCTTGGGAAGCCCCAGAAGCAGTGCAACTGGTGGTCAACTTCAACCACACAAGATTACTACTTTCATGAGTTCACAATGAAAGGGTGGACACAGTGGGCACCAAAGCCCCACTGAACCAAATCCAATTCCATAGGATTGATGATAATGAACTCCTTTAGCTTTTCCTTATCTGGGAAGCTCTTTGGGTCCTGCTCAGCAGCTCTTCAACTATAGTCCTGGCTCATTAGCACAACCAATTGGCATGGGGGTCAATCCCTCCCAATGATGCCAAAACAAATCAAAGCTCACCTATCTTATGACAGTGCATATAGCACACACAGGGGTGCTGCTTGGGTGCCCAGCTCAGGCAACAAACATAGGAAAGCAGCCAAAATGCAGAGACAAAGAAATATGTCACAAATAAAAGAAATCTCCAGAAAAAGAACTAAAGGAAATGGAAGCAAGAAAACTACCCTTTTGCCCCGAAAATAAGACAGTGTCTTATATTAATTTTTGCTCCCAAAGATGCGCTAGGTTTTATTTTCAGGGGATGTCTTATTTTTCCATGCGCTAGGTCTTATTTTCGGAAGATGTCTCATTTTTGGGGAAACACAGTAACAGATACAGACTTCAAACAAAACAATGGTTACAATGATGCTCGAGGAACTTAATGAGAAATTCAAGGAACTTAGTGAGATCAACAACATAAAAAAGGACCAGCAAGAAATGCAGTACACATTAAATGAAATAAAGAATAATTTATAGGGATTCAACAGTAGAGTAGAGGGTGCTGAGTCAAATCAATAATTTGAAATATAAGGAAGCAAAAAAAAAACCACACCCAGAACAGCAAAAAGAAAAATCCAAATACATGAACATAGTGTAGGCTCTGAAACAACTTCAAGAGTACCAACCCTCACATCATGGGGACACCAGGAGGAGAAGAGAGGGATCAAGAAAATCTATTTGAAAAAATGACAGAAAAATTTCCCTATGTGATGATAAGAAATAGATATACAAGTCCAGGAAGCACAGAGTCCCAAACAGATGAACCCAAAGAAGCCTACATCAAGGCACATCACAATTAAAATGCAAAAGTTGAAAGACAAAGAGAGAATCTTAAAAGCAGCAAGAGAAAAGCAGTTAGTTACCTACAAGGGAGCACCCGTAAAACTGTCAACTGCTTTTTCAACAGAAATTTTGCAGGCCAGAAGAGTGTGGCAAAAAATATTCAAAGTGATGAAAAGCAAAAAACAAAAACAAAACCAAAGTGATGAAAAGCAAGGACCAAGATTACTCCACCCAGCAAAACTATCATTTAGAATTGAAAGTCAGATAAAGAACTTCTCAGATAAGGAAAAGCTAAAGGAGTTCATCATCATTAAATCAGTATTATATGAAATATTAAAGGGCGGAGAATAAGGGGGTGAAGAGAGAAGAAGGAGAAGAGGAGGAGAAGGAGAAGGAGAAGGAGAAGGAGAGATAAAAATATATTTAGTGAAATAGCAATAAATGCATATCTATCAACAATTGAATCTAAAAAGCAAAATAAATGAACAAAATAAACTATAAATAAAATAGAACCAGATGCATGGAAACATGGAACAGACTGATGAATCTCAGAGGGAAGTGGGTAGTAGAACCAGGAAGAGACTGACTAAAGAATTTATATGCATATATGCTTCACCTATGGACACACAATAAGGTGATGAAGACTTGGGGTTGGATGGAAACTGGGTGGAAGTGGGCAATGGGGAGAAAAAAAGAAGACATTAATAATACTCTCAAAAATAAAGAATTTTGGTGTTTTTTTCAAAGAAAAGTCTCAAGAAATCAGAGGATAATTAGGAAAAGCACACAATGAAATTCAACATATGTTCATGATTTCTAAAAACCACTAGAAAAATAGAAATAAAGGGAAACTTTCTCATCAATATTTCTCTCTCCCTACCCCTTCCTCTCTCTCTAACAACATATCAATAAATAATTTTTTTTTAAAAAGGGGGGACTACCTGGCAGGACTGGCAAATTCAGTAAGTGAAGGTAACCACATGGGATGTTCTAATCATAAAAACTTCTGGTTACATTATAATGAAAGTCAGGTCCTAGTACCTATTTATGAAAGATTAATCTTTATCTTAAGCCAGTGGCTGGCAAACTGATTAGTCAACAGAGCCAAATATCAACAGTACAATGATTGAAATTTCTTTTGAGAGCCAACTTTTTTAAACTTAAACTTCTTTTAATGCCACTTCTTCAAAACAGACTCTTGCCCAGGCCGTGGTATTTTGTGGAAGAGCCACACTCAGGGGCCAAAGAGCCTCAGTTTGCCGATCATGGCTTTAAGCAAATCTTATCCATTGTTTTTGTGCACCTAGGATAACATGTCAGAATGATCTCTTCCTCAAATTTCCAGAGATAAACACCCGAGGCCCGGGGGTAAGACAACCACATCATTCCTATCTTTGACCTGCATAACTCTGTAAACCATGTTATGTTCAATGTTAACTATCCTGCAGCCACCAATGAAAAAAAATTTTACCAATAGTTTACTTTTTATCCAATTCAAGAGATTTCCCTGCTTTACTTTCTCCAGCCTCCATAATTTACTACCAATGCCTTTTATGTAACCTTCCTTCTTGTCTTCCCCTTTAATTAAAATATATAAAGTAAGCTATAAAACTTATTCCTTAGGGTATTTTCTCAATCTTTTGAGATTTTACATCTAGATCTGGCCTTCAGCTTTGGTTCAGATAAACTCTTTAAACCTTCTTTCCTAGACTCCAAACACCTTCTCTAGTGGACACAATGATAATTAACAAAAATCAGACATAAATGACTAACAGATCTGGGAATAGGAAGACATTTCACTTCCAGATTCACTTTATTTAATAAATTATGCCCATTTCTCCTGATATTATTACAAATAGCGAAATGTACATAGAATAGTTCCTTAAGAAAAATACTTAAAATAATTTACTACTTACTAATTTGAAGCAAAACAAATCAGAACTATCAATATGCAACCACAGCAAAAGGAAACATGCAGTTAAGCATTAAAATTGCATCTTAAACTGGAAGCCACATTTGGTTTAAAAAAATTCAGATCCCAGATTAGGAACTTTAGAAATGAAGACTATAACGGTTACTTACATGAGCTGGCCATACTGTTGGTTGTGAGTCATCAGATTTGATAGACTTTTCAACTTTAGCATATTTCTCCACCTAAGAAATCAAATCAAGAAACACAAGATATAATGGAATCAGTATTAAGACCAAAGAGAAAAATCTAGTAACTTGACAATCCTATATAATAAAAAGCTAACATGCAAATCAACCAAATGGTTGAACAACCGGTAGCTATGACACACAGTGACCATCAGGAAGCAGATGCTCAATGCAGGAGGAGCGCCACTCAGCCAGAAGGCGCGATCACAGCAGTGGAGACAGTGCTAAGGATGTCGCAGGGAGTGGGACTGAATTGGCAATTGGACAACCAGGACTATGAGAGGGTACAAGTTGGGCTTAGGGAACACCCTTACCCCTCTTGAGTGCATGAATTTCGTGCACTGGATCTCTAATACAATATACTTTTTAACACAAGAATTCTTGAGTCATGCAACTGATTTCTCAACAGAAACTCATCAGGACAGAAGGGAATGGGATGAAATATGGAAAGTCATGCAAAGGAAGGGTCTGAATCCAAGAATACTGTACCCAACAAGGTTATCAATCAAAATTGAAGGTAAAATCAGGAGCTTCACAAACAAAAAAAGACTAAGAGAATTTAACAGCACCAAACCAGCAATGCAAGAAATGCTACAAGGTCTACTGTAAAAGTAAAAAAGAAATAGAAAGCGAAGAAGGAACATGGGGGTATAGAATAAAAATGGCGACAAATAAGTACCTATGAATAATAACTTTAAATGTAAATGGATTAAATGCTGCAATCAAAAGACATAGGGTAATGGATTGGATAAGAAAACAAGACCCGCATATATCTGCTGTCTACAAGAAACCCATTTCAGAAAAAAAGACGCACACAGGCTGACGGTGAAGGGATGGAAAACGGTTTTCCAGGCAAATGGAAATGAAAAAAAAAGCTGGGGTAGCAATACCTGTATCTGACAAATTAGATCTCAAAGTGAAGGACATAACAAGAAATAATGAAGGCCAATTCTTAGCACTAAAGGGAGCAATCCAACAAGAATAACTAACCCTGGTAAACATATACAGCCAATACAGGAGCACCCAAATACATAAAAAAAAAAAAAAAAAAAAAACTGCTGGAGGACATTAAGGGCAGATTAATAGCAATACAATTATAGCAGGAGATTTTAATACCCCACTGTCACCTTTGGACAAATCATCTAAACAAAAAACCAGCAAAGAAACATCAATCCTAAATGATTCACTAGACCAGATGGAATTAATCGACACCATCAGAACATTTCACCCCAAAGCCACATAACATACATTCTTCTCAAGTGCACATGGGTCATTTTCAAATATAGACCACATGGCACATAGGAAAAGACTCTTCAAATTCAAGAAGATACAAATCATATCAAGCATCTTCTCAGATCATAGTGGCATAAAACTCGAAATCAAGTACAATAAAAATAATCCAAAGAAATCAAACACATGGAGACTAAACAGCATGCTATTAAACAAGGACTGGGTTACCAGAGAAATCAAGGAAGAAATTAAAAACATCCTGGCCCAGGCCCAGAGCAGCCGGGTCGGGAGCAGCCAGGCCTGGAGCAGCAGCAGCCAGGCCGGGAGCGGCCATGCCCTGAGTGGCTGGGCCTGGAGCAGCGGCAGCCAGGCGGGTAGTGGCCAGGCCCTGAGAGGCCGGGCCTGGAGCAGCCGGGTCCAGAGCAGCTGGACCCAGAGCAGCAGCAACCAAGCCCGGAGCAGCCAGATTGGAAGTGGCCAGGCCCGCAGCAGACGGGCCCATAGCAGCTGGGTCGGGAGCAGCCAGGCCCGGAGCAGCAGCAGCCAGGCTGGGAGCGGCAGTGGCCAGACCCGCAGCAGCTGGTTGGGGAGCGGACCAGAGAAACAGAGGCCAGGCCTGGAGCAGCCAGGCCCGGAACAGCTCACTCCTCGCCTGCCCCTGCCCCACGGCTCCTCTCAGACATGGCTGGAAACTTTGGGGGGAACTTGAGGATCTGCTGAATCAAGTGATGAAGGCTTAGATCTGAATGTGTTGAGTTAGTATAGCACTGGGGTGTTGATCTGTGAGTGCCTTGTGTGGGGTCTGGATGAGGTTGGTTGATATATTTGGAAATGTCTTTTGTGTGAAGTGTATCCTTGGGCATGTGGAGGTATTATTGATTTGAGAAAATGCTAAGTAACTGATTTACTATCTGAAAAATTTAAAGTTCTGAAAGTTTAAGGTCTCTTGCCAAAAAGAGGTTTTAAAGCTAACACCTTAATTTTAATGGAGAAAGGGGAGGACAAGCCCTTCTCACCCAGAACAGGTAATCCAATTCCAACCAGCAGCAAATTTTAAAAATGTGTTCATTTACATTTGAATGGCTACACCTTTCGATAGCCTAAGGATAGGATTACATGTAAACAAGTAAGCTTCTCAATTCCCAGGGCAGAAAAAAACAAGGTTTAAAATTATTAGATTTTAAATTTTATTCTTAGAAGTGTAAAAGTTTATTAATTAAAAAAAACAACAACAACAACAAAAAAAGGAGATTGAAAAACCTGATGAACAATATTAGCCGGCGATACAGGAGGGGAGTGGACTGACAGTTCTGGGGGGCGGGGGTGGTGGATTCGGGAAGACGATGAACATAAACTGTGCATCTATGGATGAGGACAATTGGGGGTGGAGAGGGGGCAGAGGGTTGGGTGGGAACCTGGTGGAGGGGGGAAGAAATGAGGAACCTTTGTAATAATATGAACAATAAAGATTGATTTTTTAAAAAAAAGTCTGAAAAAAAAAACATCCTGGCAAAAAATGACAATGAAAACACGACAATCCAAAATCTATGGGACACAGCAAAAGCAGTTTTGAGAAGGAGGTTCATATCTCTACAAGCCTATTGCAAAAAAACAAGAAAAAACAGTAACAAATTATCTAACTCTAGAACTCAAAGAGTTAGAAAAATAACAAGAAAAGCCAGTGTAAGCAGAAGAAAGGAAATAACAAAAAGCAGAGATGAATAACATAGGAACCAAAGAAACAATACAAAAGATAAACAAAACCAAGAGCTGGTTCTTTGAAAGATAAACAAAATTGATGAACCTCTAGCCAAGCTAACCAAGAAACAAAGAGAGAGGACCTAAATAAAATCAGAAATGAGCCGGCACGGGTTTGGCTCAGTGGATAGAGCGTCAGCCTGCGGACTACAAGGTCCCGGGTTCGATTCCGGTCAAGGGCATGTACCTTGGTTGCAGGCACATCCTCAGTAGGGGGTGTGCAAGAGGCAGCTGATCGATGATTCTTTCACATAGATGTTTCTAGCTCTCTATCCCTCTCTCTTCCTCTCTGTGAAAAATCAATAAAATATATTAAAAAAAAAAAAATCAGAAACGAAAGAGGTGAAATAACAACAGACCCTGCCGAAATACAAAATATTGTTACAAAATACTATGAACAACTCTATTCCAACATATTGGACAACCTGGAGGAAATGGACATATTCCTAGAAAAATACAATCTTCCAAAACTCAATCAGGAAGAATCTAAAACCTCAATAGACCAGTGACTTGGGAAGAAATTGAAACAGTCATCAAAAAGCTTCCAGCAAGCAAAAGCCCAGGGCTAGATGGCTTCACAGGAGAGTTTTACCAAACATTCAAGGAAGAACAAAAACCTATCCTCCTCAGACTATTCCAAAAAATTCAAGAGGAAGGAACACTTCCAAACTTCTTCTATGAAGCCACCATCACCCTAATACCAAAACCAGATAAAGACAACTCAATGAAAGAGAATTATAGGACAATATCCCTCATTAACACAGATGCCAAAATCCTCAACAAAATTCTAGCAAATCGGCTCCAGCAGCACATCAGAAAGATCATACACCATGACCAAGTAGGATTTATTCCGGGAATGCAAGGATGGTACAATATCTGCAAATCAGTAAACATGATACATCACATAAACAAATTGAGAAATAAAAATCATATAGTAGTACCAATCGATGCAGAAAAAGCATTTGATAAAATCCAATAAACTTTCCTGATAAAAACTATCAACTAGGTAGGAATAGAAGGATCATAACTCAACATAATAAAAGCTATATATGATAAACCCACAGCCAACATCATACTCAATTGGAAAAAACTAAAACCATTCCCTCTAAGAACAGGAACAAGAGAGGGATGCCCATTCTCACCACTCCTGTTTGACATAGTACTGGAAGTACTAGCCATCGCAATTAGACAGGAAGAAGAAATAAAAGGCATCCAAATGGGAAAAGAAGAAGTAAAACTGTCCTTATTTGCAGGTGACATGATGTTGTACATAAAAAACCCAAAAGACTCAATCAAAAAACAGATTTAATAAATGAATTTAGCAATGTAGCAGGATACAAAATTAACGTCAAGAAATCTATGGCATTTCTATACACCAATGGTGAACATACAAAAACAGAGAGTAAAAGAACAATACCATTTACCATCGCAGCAAAAAAATTAAGATACCTAGGAATAAACTTAACTAAGGAGGTAACAGACCTATATGCGGAAAAATACACGACACTGAAAAAAGAGAGAAAGGAAGATGTAAACAGATGGAAGAATATACCATGTTCATGGATTGGCAGAATCAACATCATCAAAATGTCCATACTTCCCAAAGCAATTTATAGGTTCAATGCACTCCCCATTAAAATACCAACGGCATGTTTCACAGAACTAGAAACAACTCTCCAAAAATTCATCTGGAACAAAAAAAAGGCCCGAATAGCCACAGCAATCCTGAGAAAGAAAAATAAAGTAAGAGGTATCTCAATACCAGATTTTAAGTTGTATTACAAAGCCAATGTTCTCAAAACAGCCTGGTACTAGCACAAGAACAGGCATATAGATCAATAGAATAAAATAGAGGATCCAGATATCAACCCAAATCACTATGCTCAATTAATATTTGACAAAGGAGGCACAAACATTCAATGGAGTCAAGACAGTTTCTTCAATAAATGGTGTTGGAAAAATTGGACAATGCAAAAGAATGAAACTAGATCACCAACTTATGCCATACA